TTCTGTTTGTCATGGGAGTTCTGTGTGCCATATTTGGTTCAATTCCATCATTGGTGGAGTTCAGAATGCTCTTTGATTTTAGGTGAACTATACATCCCAGTAACTACAACTTGCATATGTCAAGGTCTATTTTCCCCCAAGAGTGCCTTAAGAGTGCCCCTGGGCAGAATCAACTATACTGCGAATGCTTACTTTGCGTAATGGGTTGAGCCGCCCCTGTATACATGGCTATCGTATCTCCTCTCAGCCTTCTTTTCTTCAGGCTAAACATGCCCAGCTCCTTAAGCCGCTCCTCATAGGGCTTGTTCTCCAGACCCTTGATCATTTTAGTCGCCTCCTCTGGACACATTTCAGCTTGTCAATATCTCTCTTGAATTGTGGTGCCCAGAATTGGACACAATATTCCAGTGTGGTCTAACCAAGGCGGAATAGAGGGGTAGCATTACTTTCCTTAATCTAGACCAGGGGTCCTCAAACTTTTTAAACACAGTCTCTCAAACTGTTGGAGGGCCGGATTATAATTTGAAAAAATTATTTGTATTGCAAAAAAACCCTTAACAAGACAATACAATAATTAAAATGAATAAAAATTTTAACAAATATAAACTTATTAGTGTGGGCCCGCTTTTGGCTGATGAAACAGGATTGCTGTTGTGTGCTTTCAAGTCATTTCAGACTTAGGTTGACGCTGAGCGAGGGCCGGGTAAATGACCTTGGAGGGCCGTATCCGGCCCTCGGGTCTTAGTTTGAGGACCCCTGAACTAGACACTAGGCCACTTGCTCCCTTCACACTCTAATCTTTCCACCTTTTCAGCCCCCCAGTCTTGCTCATTTTGCAAGCTTCCTTTTCCCATCCCAGTCTTTTCCATCTATTCCTCTTTCCCACCCCAATTTCCCCAGCTTTTCCCACCCACCCCCTCACTCTCTAGCCTGGAGACTTTCTCACTTTTCCAGAAAATATGTTAAGTACAAAAAATTGAAACAAAAGATTTACCTCCATTTCAGGTGTAGTTGTGGGATGATTGCATTTTCCAGTCTGCATTTTTCATGCTCTGTTGCCACTAGATGGCAACAAAGACTAAATACTGGATCTATTGAAGACTATTCAAGATCCTGAAAGGAAGACTCCATAAATACATGGAGCAAGAGTTGCCAGACGTTCAAGCTGGGTTTAGAAAAGGCAGAGGAACGAGAGACCAGATTGCCAATATCCGCTGGATAATGGAGAAAGGCAGGGAGTTTCAGAAAAATGTTTTTCTGTTTTATTGACTATTCTAAAGCCTTTGACTGTGTGGATCATAATAAATTGTGGCAAGTTCTGGTGGTATGGACATACCAAATCACCTTGTCTCTCTCCTGAGGAATCTGTATAAGGACCAAGTAGCAACAGTCAGAACTGACCACAGAACAACAGGCTGGTTCAAGATTGAGAAAGGCGTACGTCAGGGTTGTATACTCTCCCCCAACCTATTGTATGCAGTACACATCATGCGATGTGCGGGGCTTGATGAATGCAAAGCTGGGGTGAAAATTGCTGGAAGAAACATTAACAACCTCAGATATGCAGATGACACCACTCTGATGGCCGAAAGCGAGGAGGAGCTGAGGAGCCTTCTAATCAAGGTGAAAGAAGAAAGCGCAAAAGCCGGTTTGCAGCTAAACGTCAAAAAAACCAAGATTATGGCAACAAGAATGATTGACAACTGGAAAATAGAGGGAGAAAATGTGGAGGCCGTGACAGACTTTGTATTTCTAGGTGGCAAAGATTACTGCAGATGCAGACTGTGGCCAGGAAATCAGAAGACGCTTACTTCTTGGGAGGAGAGCAATGTCCAGTCTCGATAAAATAGTAAAGAGTAGAGACATCACCCTGGCAACAAAGATCCGCCTAGTCAAAGCCATGGTATTCCCTGTAACCTACGGATGGAGCTGGACCTAGGGAAGGCTGAGAAAGTAGATGCGTTTGAACTGTTGTATTGGGGGAAGGTTCAGAGAGTACCTTGGACCACAAGAAGATCCAACCAGTCCATACTTCAGGAAATAAAGCCTGACTGCTCATTGGAGGGAAGGATATTAGAGGCAAAGATGAAGTACTTTGGCCACATCATGAGAAGACAGGAAAGCTTAGAGAAGACAATGATGCTGGGGGAAATGGAAGGAAAAAGGAAGAGGGGCTGACCAAGGGCAAGATGGATGGATGGCATCCTTGAAGTGACTGGATTGACCTTGAAGGAGCTGGGGGTGGTGACGGCCGACAGGGAGCTCTGGGCGTGGGCTGGTCCATGAGGTCACGAAGAGTCGGAGACGACTGAACGAATGAACAACAACAATTGAAGACTAACATCAAACAAAATATTTCTTCCCCAAAACCATCCTTCTTATTGTGCTATCTCCAAAAACAATGTACTTTACAGTTTTTCCAGGTTCGTTTTATTTCATGAAATGCACAGATAGAAGCTAGAAAATATGCAAAGTATCTATTACATCAAAAAATAAAGGTTAGGCAGGAGTTAAAATGTTTTCAAACAAGTTTAGACATAAAATGCTCAATGGAATTGTGGGTTTTGAAGCCAGTTGCCACATCCAGCTAAAAAAAAGTTCCTCCAGAATTGCTGATGTCCACATAGCACAAAATCTCAATTTGTATATTTTATTGGCGGAAAATGTTGATGTAATATATATCTTTTGCCATCATCTTCATGTGGGCCACCCATCTGCCCCTAACAATATTCAGTCCCCTCTAGCCATGTCATTGCTAGTCTCATCTTGAACAAGTTTTTATGGACGAAGTTCAAAGTCATAGCCTTGTGAGTCTGGAATATCAGCATGCGAAGGGATCTGGCACCATCTTAGACATGTGGACACTGGCCAGCTGCCAAGCCAGCTTGGTGCTGGTCATGGGGGGCCCTGCAATACTGATCCAGAGTACCCAGAGAGAAAGGGCCACATACATTTTTATCTTGGCAATACATCTGCTTAATCAGCAGAGAGGCAATGCAACACACTTTGGGGATGAGAGAGATGCATAAAGTTACAAAACATTCAGAGGTTCTGTGATCCACTCTCTATTCTGGGGAAGTTTCTCCATTCCAGAAAAACAAACAGGTCAATTTCTCAACTTGCAGAACTAAAGAAGTTTGTATGTGTAAAAAAATGCACAGTTCTCCTCTGTCATTTTGATAGAAAGGAGGGATACACACTGAATGAATAAAGCAGTGTTTCTCAGAGGGGTGTCAGAGGGGTCACCAGAGACCATCAGAAAACACTGTATTTTCTGTTGATCATGGGGCTTCTGTGTGGGAAGTTTGGCCCAATTCTATCATTGGTGGGGTTCAGAATGCTCTTTGATTGTAAGTGAACTATACAGCTCAGCAACTACAACTCCCAAATGTCAAGGTCTATTTCCCCCAAACTCCACCAATGTTCACATTTGGGCATATTGTGTATTCGTGCCAAGTTTGGTCCAGATCCATCATTTTTGAGTCCAGAGTGCTCTCTGGATGTAAGTGAACTACAACTCCAAAACTCAAGGTCAATGCCCACCAAACCCTTCCAGTATTTTCTGTTGGTCATGGGAGCTCTGTGTGCCAAGTTTGCTTCAATTCCATCATTGGTGGAGTTCAGAATGGTCTTTGATTGTAGGTGAACTATACATCCCATCAACTACAACCCCCAGATGACAAAATCAATCCCTCCCCACCCCATCAGTATCCAAATTTGGGCATATTGGATATTTGTGCTGAATTTGGTCCAGTGAATGAAATTACATCCTGCATGTCAGATATTTACATTATGATTCTTAATTGGAGTAAGATTACAATTAAGAAGTAACAATGCAAATAATTTTATTATTGTGGTCACCACAATATAAGGAACTGTATTGAAAACGGCTTGGAAATTTCAGCTGGTCCAACGGGCGACGGCCAGGTTGTTAACTGGTGCTCCTTACAGAGAGAGGTCAACCCTCCTGTTTAAGGAGCTCCACTGGCTGCCGTTCATTTTCCGGTCCCAATTCAAGGTGCAGGTGCTCACCTACAAAGCCCTAAATGGTTTGGGACCTGCCTACCTGCGTGACCGCATCTCTGTATATGAACCCACACGTTCCCTCCGTTCATCTGGAGAGGCCCTGCTCGCGATCCCACCTGCGTCACAAGCGTGCTTGGTGGGGACGAGGGACAGGGCCTTTTCTGTGGTGGCCTCCCGACTGCAACACCCTCCCCAAGGACATCAGACAAGCCCCAGCGTTGGCAGTCTTTAGGAAGAGCTTGAAGACTTGGCTGTTCCGGTGTGCCTTTCCAGAATAGGAAACTCCCAGCATCATGTCCCAGATGCACTTTATTAGAGATTTAAGATTGCCGCACATTGCACCTACCCTAGAATCCTTCCATCTTACCTGCCATGTCCAGCACTTTTAACTGTACCCATTACCTAGTTTTTAAATGTGTCACGGTGTATTGTTTTGTTGTTTTACTGTTACTGCTTTAATGCTTTTTGGTTTGCTTGTGAGTTAGATAATGTATTTGTTATGCTGTTGTTTTATTGAGGGCCTTGGCCTTTGTAAGCCGCATCGAGTCCTTTGGGAGATGTTAAGGTAGGTAAAGGTAGTCCCCTGACATTAAAGTCCAGTCATGTCTGACTCTGGGTGTGGTGCTCATCTCCATTTCTAAGCCGAAGAGCCAGCCGTTGTCATAGACACCTCCAAGGTCATGTGGCCAGCATGACTGTGTGCAGCGCTGTTACCTTCCCACTGGAATTATACCTATTGATCTACTCACATTTGCATGTTTTCAAACTGCTAGGTTGGCAGAAGCTGGCGCTGACAGCGGAAGCTCACACCGCTCCCCGGAATCGAACCTGCGACCTTTCAGTCAACAAGCTCAGCAGCTCAGTGCTTTAACCCACTGCGCCACCGGGGGCTCCAGAAATACAATGTGGGAATTACCAAGAGTACCAAGAAAATGAGATGCAAAACGATAATAATAATAATAATAATAATAATAATAATATTAAGGGGTCGCGGCATTAGGAAGGTTGAGAATCACTGGAATAAAGAAACATTGTGAGCAGAAGTTGTAATCTGTCCTGAGGCGGTCCTCTTCTTGTCTAGGAAGTGGCCATGTTAATCTCCACCTTTTACACATAGGTAGGCTCCAAATCATCATGGAAGTTCACAACAGGCTGAGATTTTTCAGAATGTTTTATAAACAAGCCTTCAGCCATACCAAGCTCAGAGTCTACATCAGTGGCATAGTTGTCACTAGAGGAAGACAGGCTGCACTGGCAAAATTCACAAAAGTGCCTGGAGGGGCAATAGGGAGAATCGGCTCCCGAGGAACTACTGCTGGCATCAGAACCAGGGTAAGAGTGCTTGGAGGAAAATGGGCCTTGTAATGTGTGTGTTAGAAACTGCTTTGGATTATATTGATGCAGGTTCCCAGTCCTACCCAGATAACCTACATTTTCAGCATTGTATTGAAGCGTTTTCTTACCCATGGGTGCTGAGAAAGAAGCCAACTGGTGCAAAGAACTCCCATCTTCAGTGCCACTGACTGCTGCCCCAAATAAACTTCTGCAGCTTGTTTGCATTCTGCTGGCCATTTTGTTTACAGAATGCAAACTCTCAGGAGGGGTGGGGCATCTCTTTCCCTGTCCTGGTTCACAAGGGCTACGTTCCTTAATTTCTACTTGAATGTCTTGTGATTGGCACAGTATATTCATGTCATCTGCTGCACCTTGTTCACATCCCCTGGAAGAAATTTGGGTAACACCAATACAGTTCATGCTGAGATCTTGCAAGGTTTCTTGAAGTGCTTGACTTCTTATTTGGGTGAACTCTGGGAGATGATTGAGGACCACAGGTGAAAACTTTCCTTGCTTTGCTTCACCACTTGGAGCTGAGAGTCTGACTGGATCTTTGATACAAAATGTGCTGGTGTACTGACAGAATCGCTGGGTTTGGTCATCTCTGGAACTGAATTTTTTGTAATCATCCATTAATCTGCACCTAGCAGGAATGTCTAATGGTATCTGTTCAGTGCAACCTTTCTGAGCATATAATTCCAGACTGCACTGTGAATTTGGGAGTTGGGGAGACTGCAACATCTTCACTTCCTGCCCAGGTGGAAAAGCATCTCTTGGCTGGTTTTCAGCTCCCATAGAAGAACAAATAGTGGCAGAATTAGCCTCCAGGAATTGTGGGGAAGAAGGAAAGGGAGAGCCAACAGCATTGTAATCCTCTACAGCTACCAGTCTCATCAGTTGCTTCTTTGCATTATTCACTTCCTCTTGAAGACAAGCAATTGCTGTATTTTTCTGTATTGAACAGAATACAATACAGGTTTCCAAGATTAATATCCCCAAATGCACAATTCAGATGCAAAAACACTGTAGAATTAATGCAGTGACATCACTTGAACTGACATGGCTCAGTGCTATAGATCAGGAGTTCTCAAACTTTTTAAACAGAGGGCCAGGTCACTGTCCCTCAAACTGTTGGAGGGCCAGATTATAATTTTACACATATTTTATTTGTGTGCAAAACACTTAAAACAATACAATAATTAAAATGAAGAACAATTTTAACAAATATAAACATATTAGCATTTCAATGGGAAGTGTGGGCCTGCTTTTGGCTGATGAGATAGGATTGTTGTTGTTGTTGTGTGCTTTCAAGTCATTTCAGACTTAGGTTGACCCTGAGTGAGGGCCTGGTAAATGACCTTGGAAGGCCGTATCTGGCCCCCGGGCCTTAGTTTGAGGACCCCTGCTCTATGGAAAGGACTCCAACTCCGACCGAGACCACCTTCCACCTGGAAACCAATACCTCACTGTGGGAGAAGATGCAGGTCAAGAATAGGGCTCCACAGTCACCTACGGATCCACAAGAATACTGATCCTGGAAAACTATCCTACTTGCCCAACAAAAATCTGCATAGTTAAAGCAATGGTATTCCCCATAGTCACCTTCGGATGTGAGAGCTGGAACATAGGAAAGGCTGAGCGAAGGAAGATAGATACTTTTGAATTATGGTGTTGGAGGAAAGTGCTGAGAGTTCCTTGGACAGCGAGAAGATCCAACCAGTCCATACTTCAAGAAATAAAGCCTGACTGTTCATTGGAGGGAAGAATAGTAGAGGCCAAGATGAAGTACTTTGGCCACATCATGAGAAGACAGGAAAGCTTAGAGAAGACAATGATGCTGGGGAAAATGGAAGGAAAAAGGAAGAGGGGCCGACCAAGGGCAAGGTGGATGGATGGCATCCTTGAAGTGACTGGATTGACTCTGAAGGAGCTGGGGGTGGTGACGGCTGACAGGGAGCTCTGGCGTGGGCTGGTCCAAGAGGTCACAAAGAGTCAGAAACGACTGAACGAATGAACGACAACATGGTAGACTTTTATTCATGACAGGTAAAAGCCGGGAGGGCTGGAAAAGATTGTTAAGGAAGTGGTCTGCAAACACTTAGAAACAAATGCGGTCATCGCTAATAGTCAACATGGATTTATCAAAAACAAGTCATGCCAGACTAATCTGATCTCTTTTTCTTCGATAGAGTTACAAGCTGGGTAGATGCGGGGAATGCCATGGATGTAGTGTACCTGGATTTCAGTAAGGCCTTCGACAAGGTCCCCCATGACCTTCTGGCAAGGAAACTAGTCCAATGTGGGCTAGGCAAAACTACGGTGAGGTGGATCTGTAATTGGTTAAGTGGACGAACACAGAGAGTGCTCACTAATGCTTCTTCTTCATCTTGGAAAGAAGTGAGCGGAGTGCCGCAGGGTTCCGTCCTGGGCCCGGTCCTGTTCAACATCTTTATTAATGACTTAGATGAAGGGCTAGAAGGCATGATCATCAAGTTTGCGGACGACACCAAATTGGGAGGGATAGCCAATACTCCAGAGGACAGGAGCAGGATTCAAAACGATCTTGACAGATTAGAGAGATGGGCCAAAACTAACAAAATGAAGTTCAACAGTGACAAATGCAAGATACTCCACTTTGGCAGGAAAAACGAAATGCAAAGATACAGAATGGGGGATGCCTGGCTCGAGAGCAGTACGTGTGAAAAAGATCTTGGAGTCCTCGTGGACAACAAGTTAAACATGAGCCAACAATGTGATGTGGCGGCAAAAAAAGCCAATGGGATTTTGGCCTGCATCAATAGGAGCATAGTGTCTAGATCTAGGGAAGTCATGCTACCCCTCTATTCTGTCTGGAATATTGCGTCCAATTCTGGGCACCACAATTCAAGAGAGATATTGACAAGCTGGAATGTGTCCAGAGGAGGGCGACTAAAATGAGCAAGGGTCTGGAGAACAAGCCCTATGAGGAGCGGCTTAAGAGCTGGGCATGTTTAGCCTGAAGAAGAGAAGGCTGAGAGGAGATATGATAGCCATGTATAAATATGTGAGAGGAAGCCACAGGGAGGAGGGAGCAAGCTTGTTTTCTGCTTCCCTGGAGACTAGGACAAAACAATGGCTTCAAACTACAAGAAAGGAGATTCCACCTGAACATGAGGAAGAACTTCCTGACTGTGAGAGCCGTTCAGCAGTGGAACTCTCTGCCCCGGAGTGTGGTGGAGGCTCCTTCTTTGGAAGCTTTTAAACAGAGGCTGGATGGCCATCTGTCTGGGGTGATTTGAATGCAATATTCCTGCTTCTTGGCAGAATGGATGGCCCAGGAGGTCTCTTCCAACTCTTTGATTCTATGATTCTATGAAATATTCAGTCATGCATTTTTATATTCACTGTTTGTGTGTCCTTTTTGGTGCAAGAAACTAAATCTATCTATCTATCTATCTATCTATCTATCTATCTATCTTGCACAATGGAGGTATGTATATATCAGACAGATCTTCCTATAAATATGCAAAACTTAATATGCAAAATAATTAGCAGGGGGGATTTTTCTACTTTTTGTGTCTCACCTCAGCAAGCTGATGTATCATGGAATTTTTCTCTCCCAGCAATTGGTAGATCTCTTCATCGCTGTACATGGTAGACTGGAGGTTCTTATTGGAACTGGTGAAATATTTGGCCATGTGGCTAGCATCATCTTTTTGTTTTTCAAAAGTCTTCCACTGTCTGATCTACTGAACATTAAAGAAAGCATAGGTGTTAATTTTATTAGTGGAAAACATATAAATGGAAAAAGACATGAATGCATGGTGAATATTTTGGTCTGACACCTGGCCAAATTAAAATTGGTTATCACCCTAATTGCCAAAGACAGATTCAGAAACGAGAGTTCTGAAAGTAGTGCATTAAAGCAACATACACAAACAATCTCTGTTTGTGTATGTTGCTTTAATGGAGGTAGGCCTCTGCATACAATGAACAAAACAGATTAATGTGTTGGGTAAGACAAGGTCACAACTTTATTGGTTACAGCTCAGTTGGGTGGCACACTACATGAGCCTAGGACCCCATGTTATTGTGAGGCTGTCATGCCACCATGAACTTGAATTTGATCTGGTGACAATTGCTAGGTCTGTCACCTGCATATAACACTGGGGAACGCGACTTTCGTACTTCTTTTTTTTACTAAGTTTTGGCATCTGAATCCAAAAATTACCCCAGTTTTGTTCTATCATGTCAACCTTTTAAGGTACAGGATACCTTCCTTTGGTCCTCAAAATTAAACAAAATGTAAATGCAAGGGAAATAAAGACACATTACTGAACATACTGTTTATTTAAAGTTATTTTATTCTTACAAAGGTTATATATTGTTACTGAAGGTCTAATAGTGTGCAAGTAGTAAAGTTTCTCCCAGTGGTGCAGTGGGTTAAACCGCTGAGCTGCTGAACTTGCTGACCAAAAGGTCAGAGTTAGCGGAGTGAGATCCTGCTATCAGGCCCCAGCTTCTGCCAACCTTCTTCGAAAACGTGCCAGTATGAGATCAATAGGTACCCAGATGTTTTGGCCTTCAACTCCCAGAAATCCTAACAGCTGGTAAGCTGGCTGGGATTTCTGAGAGTTGTAGGCCAAAATACCTGGGGACCACATGTTGAGAACCACTGACCCAGAGCTTCGGAGAGCTTCTGTTCAACCATCTCAAAACTCCCTGCTTGAGCAGTAATGGCACGATCATCATCTATTTAGAACAATCAAGGTAATTGATTGTTCTGAATAGAGGCTCCTTCTTTTAAACAGTACTGGATGGCCATCTGCCAGGGGTACTTTGATTGTGCTTATTCCTGCATGGCATGGTATGGGACTGGGTGTCCCATATAGTGTTTTCCAACTCTATGATTCCATGATCTCCCGGAAAACCTAGGCTGCAGAAATAATTTTGTGTCCATTGTATGCAAAGTGTGCACTCGCACACACCATGAGGTGTCGATCGTGGACAATTTGGTTAAACAGACCTGTTCCTGCACGGGGGAATGTAGCACCAGTCTGTTTTACTCAGTTCTGGGAAGTCAGACCATAAGGGAAAGACAAGGGTGTCACCCTATGAGTAATATTAATCTCAGTATTCCCTACCCACAAAACAAAGAAATGGAAAAAAGCAAGTGCAGGGCTGCATGATACTGGCTTCCAATACAATATCATTGAACAACTAGTCATTAAACAATTAGGTTTGGTTAGATTTTGATGTTGCACACTGATATGACCCACCAATAATAACAACAACAACAACAACAACAACAACAACAACAACAACGCCAAACTCCTCTGGGACTTCCGGATTCAGACAGACAGAGTTTTGGAGAATAATACTCCTGACCTCACAATCGTGTTAAAACAAATATGGATTGTCTATGTCGCAATCCCAGGTGACAGCAGGATTGCAGAGAAACAACTGGAAAAGCTGACACGATATGAGGATTTAAAGATTGAACTGGAAAGCCAGTAAAGGTGGTCCCAGTGGTGATCGGCACACTGGGTGCAGTGCCTAAAGACCTTGGCCTGCACTTAAACACAATCGGCGCTGACAAACTGCCAGCTGCATAAGGCCACCTTACTGGGATCTGCACGCATTATTCGCCGATACATCACACAGTCCTAGACACTTGGGAAGTGTCCGACGTGTGATCCAATTCAGCAGAGTGTCTGCTGTGGACTCATCTTGTTGTGTTTCAAATAATAATAATAATAATAATAATAATAATAATAATAGGGTTTAATGTATTGTCGAAGGCTTTCATGGCCGGAATCCATGGGTTGTTGTAGGTTTTTCCGGGCTATATGGCCATGTTCTAGAGGCAATTTTTCTCCTGACGTTTCGCCTGCATCTATGGCAAGCATCCTCAGAGGTAGTGAGGTCTGTTGGAAGTAGGAAAATGGGTTTATATATCTGTGGAATGACCAGTGTGGGACAAAGGACTCCTGTCTACTCCATCTTTCCAAAAATGAACAAAATCTGGCTACCAGTATTAAAAAACTCAAAAATTACAACAGCAAAACAACAGAGAGTAAACAATCAAGCACATCAAATCACTCTCAACAAAAGATTCCCCCCAGGCACTTCCAAGCCATTAAATGCTAATCAAGGTGGTCAGTTGAAACATTCACACCTAGCTCCAGCAGACAAAAGTCCTTTGTCCCACCCTGGTCATTCCACAGATATATAAACCCTTTTTCCTACTTCCAACAGACTTCACTACCTCTGAGGATGCTTGCCATAGATGCAGGCGAAACGTCAGGAGAAAATGCCTCTAGAACATGGCCATATAGCCCGGAAAAACCTACAACAACCCAGTGATTCCGGCCATGAAAGCCTTCGACAATACAATAATAATAATACTTTTTTATTTATATCCTGCCCCCTCTAGGGGCAGCTTACAACAAAAAAGAACAATAAAATAGCAGTAAGCACACAACAAATCCAGACAATTAAATGAAGACAGCAAATCAAAGAAACAAATCATGATGCATAAAGAAAATTACATCACAATTAACATGTTAAGTATAACCAACACCTTAGCTATGCTTCTGTACATGTGTGTGTTTTTATGAAGCTTCCAAAACAAGATTTCTTTGTCTGGGTCCTTACCTGGGGAATAAAGATCAAGCAATTTATTGTAGATGTGGAAACCAAGATTCCTCCTGTGGTAAATCCAAAGATCAGGTTGTGCCACAAGTAGAAAAAACGATTCACCACCAGCATCATTCCCGTAGAGATTAAAACAAGAACTATTGCAATGATGAGTGTCAGAGACTGATTGACGGGTGGACAGCTAAGATCATCTGTTAGCCCAGCAAGATAGGCCCCATAGATCAAGAGGCTGAACTGGGATAAAAAAAAGAACAGGAATATTTTGAAAGCTACTTCAAGAAGTATGTTTATCATTTTTTTTCAACATGTTGAAACTTGACTCTCACTCAATTAACCATTCATGTCTTAATGTAATCAAATTCTACTGGCATTGTTGGAAATAGCAATCTTCTCAAGCCTGAATAGTCATTTGTCATGTATATAATAGCTTACTGTGTTGTATATGTGTGTATTGGTTTGCAATTTTACCTTAACGCTTTGTTGTGAGAGGGGCTGCAGACCATGAATTGGGCTTGTTCAGGACTCAGACTCCATTTTAGAAACAGTGTTTGGGATAAATTGTAGGGGTGATGATGAAATATGATGTATATACTCAGCTTGATCAGTTTGTCAGTTTTATCATGTCTTATCATATGTATTTACTGTGTTATTATAAGTGTCTTATTTTGGCTTTCTACGTGGAGTGTGATCAGGTCTTGTCAGGCCTTGTTGTTCTGTTTCTTATTGTGATATGGCCTAAGGCTAATCAATAAAATTACTACTAGAAACAGTGCAGTTTAGTGTATTGTCGAAGGTTTTCATGGCCGGAATCACTGGGTTGTTGTAGGTTTTTTCAGGCTATATGGCCATGGTCTAGAAGCATTCTCTCCTGACGTTTCGCCTGCATCAGCGCCCAGACACCCATCAAGGAACATGAAAGGCACTGCAGACTACTTCAACCAGAGAAGTCAGCCATAGCAGAGCACCTGATGAACCAACCTGGACACAGCATTTTATTTGAGAACACAGAAATGCTGGACCACTCTCACAACCACCATGTCAGACTACACAGAGAAGCCATTGAAATCCACAAGCATGTGGACAATTTCAACAGAAAGGAGGAAACCATGAAAATGAACAAAATCTGGCTACCAGTATTAAAAACTCAAAAATTACAACAGCAAAACAACAGAGAGTAAACAATCAGGCACATCAAATCACTCTCAACAAAAGATTTCCCCCAGGCACTTCCAAGCCATTAAATGCTAATCAAGGTGGTCAGTTGAAACATTCACACCTAGCTCCAGCAGACAAGAGTCATTTGTCCCACCCTGGTCATTCCACAGATATATAAACCCATTTTCCTACTTCCACTACCTCTGAGGATGCTTGCCATAGATGCAGGTGAAACGTCAGGAGAAATTGCCTCAAGACCATGGCCATATAGCCCGAAAAAACCTACAACAACCCAGTGCAGTTTAGACTTCAGTGTGTTTGCTTTTAAGAAGACAGTTGGAATGGTGTGCTATACAGAAACCATTAGAGACTCCATTGGACTCTATTAGAATCTCAGAACAGACAGATGCTTTGCATTTTGGACTATTTATTCTAAGAAATGATGCCCTGTGTTACCTACACAGAGGAACTACTTCAAATCTATTTGTAACGGGATTAATAAGGGAAGTACCTGTATGCTGAATACATGAAGTTTATGAGTAAACCAACTATGTTACTTTTAAAGAAGTCTACCTCATTTTTGTCTATTGAGAGCATGATTTAAAGGCAAATATATTTTAAGAGAGAGTAGATGTTTTGGGCACCTAAAAAGAACACTTCTGAAACCCTGCTGCTATATACATATAAATGCTGGTCAATGCCATTTCCCAAAAAAGTTATGGCATCGTTTTTCAAAAGGTTGTGACTTCTAACAAGGTCATCCCTTTCCAAATATCATCAAATTTCCAAAAAAGTTTATGGAGATTTCCATTTTGGACCAGTGGTTTTCCAAAAGGAATAACAGAAAAACTACGTATTTGGTTTATTGAAGTATCTAGCTATTCTAGATGGGGTTTTAAGGAAATGCCCAACAGGCTTCTAATACAAATATAATTGTCATATAGTTCTTTTTGTCTAAGATCGGACAGTGGCTGCATTCTACTTTGAATGTGGAGTGCCATATCCTTTGTCCTCCCCGCCCCCCCAAAAAACCCCAAAAACTCATATCCATAAATTCTAGCTGGTTTAAGATAAAGCACTGTGGTTTAGGATAAGATGGGGTGAATATATGTGTTTTACCAAGGCAAAAATTCAGTTAGTAGGCAAATAAGCCCATGAATTTTGCACCAGTGAATGTCTGAAACAAATATGCAGTATTAACCATTGAGAATGGTGTAGATATGAAATACTATTGTGTTTTATTGCATAATAGTTGCACTTGTTATCTCTTTTTTGACTGAAAAAAGAGGGTGAGACTCTTATGCGGTGAAAAAAGTGTGCCTCCTTTCAGCAATGGCACCTCACTTAGCTGTCCGAAAGCAGGTGAGTGAAGCATTGTAGCTGGAAGGGAGTGGATGTGTAGGTGTGGGTACTTTGAGGTGATGAATCAAGGATGCAACTAATACTCAAAGAAAGCAAAAATACCAATTTGAGGGAGGGGCAAAAACGGGAATGCAACTATTATACAATGAAATACATTACTGCTCAGGCAAACTAATGTATTTCATTGTATAATACAAGGGGTATTTTTAAAGTAAGGTCCGTTTTGTTGTAGACACTAGTAGTTCACGCGCATACCGTGATGAGTGCGTGCATCATGCCTCGGGAACAACTGTGCTCAGTTTCCGCTCTGTAGCTAACCTGTACGGTTCTGTTCTGTGCTTTAAAAATGTTTAAGACTATCAACTCACCCGCCGCATGTGAGGTTCGCTCAGTGATACGGTTTTTGTCAGCAAGGAACCTGCCTGCTGCAGAAATTCATCGACAGATTTGTGAAGTGTACGGTGATACTGTTATGAGTGAAAGCAAAGTGCGTAAGTGGGTACGACAATTCAAAGATGGCCGTGACAACGTCCATGATGAGAACCGCTCCGGTCGCCCTTCTTTGATTACAGACGATTTGGTTATCGGAGCAGGCGGCAAGTTTTTATGAAGAGGGTATTTTAAAATTGGTTCAGAGGTATGATAAGTGTTTGAACAAACTTGGCAACTATGTCGAAAAATAGAGTGAAGTATGTACTTTCTGAAAATAAATTTACTTTTTTGAAATAAACTTTCGTTGTGTACTTATGTTCAAATGGACCTTACTTTAAAAATACCCCTCGTAGTTGCAAACCTGTCTCCCAAAGCCTCTTCACATAAGACAGAACTTTCCAAACTGTGTGTCACAACACGTTAGTGTGTAGGCTGCAGTGTGTAGATGTGTTGCATAAAAATAAAGAGAAACCTTTGCATCTATGGGAAATCATATATACTATATATACTCAAGTATAAGCCGACCTGAATATAAGCCGAGGCACCTAATTTTATCACAACAAACTGGAAAAACGTATTGATTCGAGTATAAGTCAAGGGTGAGAAATGTAGCTGCTACTGGTGATCATCAGTAGGTTAAATGTTTTTGAGTATTTACATAAAACTGTAATTTAAGATAAGACTGCCCAACTCTGATTAAACCATTATTTTAACTTCCTTCAATGTAAATGTGCTTACCTATTACCAATAATAACAGAGTCAAATAATAAATGTAATCACATGTAATAAAAACAATAATAGAGTAAGTAATGGAAATTTAATAAAAATAGTAATAATAAAATAATAAATGTAATAATAATAATAGAGTAAGATAATAAATGTAATAGAAATAATAGAGTAAAATAATGTAAATGTAATAATAATAGAGTGAAATAATAAATGTAATAAAATAATAATAGAGTAAAATAATGTAAATGTAATAATAATAATAATAGACTAAAATAATAAATGCAATAAAATAATACTAATAACAGAGTAAAATAATAAATAACTTTGACTTGAGTATAAACCGAGGGGAACTTTTTCAGCCTAAAAAAGGGGCTGAAAAACTAGGCTTATACTTGAGTGTGTGTGTGTATGTATATATGTATATATGTGTGTATATATATATAGAGAGAGAGAGAGCGCTTATTTCACATATATGTTGTGTTCCCATACATTTAATTATTACAATTTATGGGGAGTTGTCCTTCCCCTCCCAGGGAGCTTGTGCCCCGCTTTGTGCTGGTCAGTGACCCTAATAAAGTTTTGTTGTTTGTTGTTTTGTTGTTTGTACAATCTTTTGCAAGGGGTTGGTTTAGCTTCCAATTTGCTAGTAAAACTGAATTACTGTGTCATGAAATGTCGCATGTCTAAAAAGTGTGTCACCAACGTGAAGTGTTTGGAAAGTTCTGATATAAGAGCTTCATTAAACATGTGAACAGATCCCTGGAATGAAATACTTACCTTGTATCCCAGAAAGAGAAGAAGCCAAAAGTCAGAGTACAGGGATGTACAGAACTGCCCTTGGCCCATTGTGCAAATCAAGCCTTCCTCAGTAACCTAGCAGAAAATTGAAATACACATTGAAAGCCATCTATCTTTGTTTGCAAGATGCCTAATATTCAACAATTTGTTATTTCCAAAATCCTAACAGCAAAAGCCATACTTGGCTCCAACCTACAGATTTGTGTGTCACCTTGATTGGAGCAGACTGGCTCCTGATGGGGTAAAAAGCAAAAACATGGAATAATGTGGGAGTTGTTTCATCAGCAAAGTCAGATATCAAATTTTGGTGCTGAGGTAAGATTTTTAAAAAGTAAGAGATCAAATTTTGGTGCTGAGGTAAGATTTTTAAAAAGTAAGAGATCAAATTTTGGTGCTGAGGTAAGATTTTTAAAAAGTAAGCAAAATTGTCAGCTAGTGGTTGGAAGAATACAAAGCCTCAGCTCCCCTGAGGTCATTTTTTAAAATAACCAACAACCATTATTTATGTTAATTGCTATCTTGAATGTCTTCTTCACTTGTTCTGCAGCTTCACTTGTTCTGCAGATTGACCTTGCAAGTCAGTCTGCCCATAGGTACAATGGCCATTACATCTGATCAGATTTTTTGGACTTTGTTTCCTAGGTGAATAAGTGTTTTCAAATCACCTATCACTTATGGCAGGGGTCCTCAAACTAAGGCCCGGGGGCCGAATGCGGCCCTCCAAGGTAATTTACCCGGCCCTCGCTCAGGGTCAACCTCAGTCTGAAAGCACACAACAACAACCACAATCCTATCTCATCAGCCAAAAGCAGGCCCACACTTCCCATTGAAATACTAATAAGTTTATATTTGTTAAAATTGTTCTTCATTTTAATTATTGTATTGTTTATGAGTGTTTTTTGCACTACAAATAAGATACATGCAGTGTGCATAGGAATTCGTTCATATTTTTTTTCAAATTATAATCCGGCCCTCCAGCAGTTTGAGGGACTATGACCTGGCCCTCTGTTTAAAAAGTTTGAGGACCCCTCACGTATGGTGATTGTAATGAATCCCTTACCTTAGCTGGCTGGCTGAAGCCTAAGGGAGTGGCCCTGGTGAACCCACTGCATCCATTTTAGAAAAGGGAGCTGGGTGGAAGCCATTTTAGTTAGGTTTTCCTTGAGGGAACGTGTTCAAGTTTTAGAGGGAAAATAGGGAAGCTAGAATTGGCTAGAAAGTTGGGGGTGGATCCTAAGTGGTTTAGAGGGAAAAAGTGTCTTTTAAAAACAGAGGCTTGAGGTCCCAGTTAGTCAGTTGGAGTTGGAGGTGGGGTGTTAGGGTGAGTGGAGAGTTGGTGTTAGTTCAGAGAGAGTTTGGGTTTAGAGAAGATTGGGTTAGTCTTTTGTGAGGTATTCAGAGTAGCTATTAGTAGATAGCTAGAATACTGTTGTGGAGCAGGGCCCAGTTAGTGGAGTGTTCAATTCCTAGGGAAGTCTAGTTCGGGGTATTTTTGGCTAGATTCCTAAGCGGCAGTTTTGGGAGTTACTTTCAGAGATTAATTTCTTGAAGTAATTTTCTGTGGTGGAACTTTGAAGACTTGTAACCCAGAAGAGTTTAAGATTTTTCTCTAATGCAACCACAAGCTTTTCATTCCAGTATTTTCTGAAACCATTAAGCATTTGACCCTGAATTATTTCAAGCTTGTTCAATAAACATTCTTGTTKTTTTATTAACTTATACCAGCCTCAGAGTGTGTACCTTTAAGGTCAAAGTATTTCTAGAGTCAGCTTCACAGCAGCCACTAAGAAACTATAGCAGCACAGTGTCTGTTACAGAACAAACTGACAATATTACCTCAGTCTGATTAATACTGGAATGGTGGCAGGGGATTTCATTTGAAGAAGCATTTCGAGTCTCTCAGTTCTAGTGTTTCCCAGTTCCTACCTTTTAAAAGGCTAACTGTCTCTCCCCTTCTCTGCTCTAATCTCCCCTGATATTGGTATAATCAGTGGGATATATTTCAACAATTAAAATAAAGAGAAATTTAAATATACAGCGGTTATAATAACCATACTCCCTCGTCCTTTTGACGACTTCATATTTTTGGTGAACACGCGTTCATATTTTAGGAGGTGCCAGTGCATTATAGTGATCCTACCAATTTCATAAGGTTTTCAGACAATAAACATATATAGCCCACAGGACCTGGTATTTGTTGGCAGTGTCTCATCCTGCTACTAACTGGGACTGACTCTGCTGAGCTTTTAAGATCAAACAAGATCTGGTGTCTTTAGGTACTTAGACCCTCCCCTTAAATTTGGAATCATCTACTGACAAAGTTTTGTAATACTGTATTTTGGTGATCCTAATAAAATTATTGCTAACTTTTTATTTCTGATTTCACCAAAAGAAAGAAATTGCACCCACCCCGACTCCACCCAAATACACTGCCAACTAGTAGTGTATTTATTTCTGATTATTTCTGGAGGGGCTGCAGTTTTCTCTTAACTGAACAAACAAGATTCACATCTGAGATTCAGATATCCAGTCCCCACTCCCCTTACTTCTTACCTGCAGATCTACATTAATGCCTTGGAGACACTGAACCGGGTCTAAGAGAATCCAAATCAAAAGTAGGATAATGTCAGCCAGCACTAACACTGATACCATCACCAGCAGCTGAAAATCTTTGATAATCTGAATTGAATACAGATAATTGAATACAGACATTTGAATACAGATATCCAAGATTGCCATTTTATTTTGAGTACACGCACACATAGACACAAAGAGTTTCCCCCCCGAAAAACCTACACTAGGAAAGGTCTGTGATCATAGAATTACTAGAATTACTAGCATGAGGATGTATGAATTTAACATAACCTAATTGCAGTAATATCTTTGAGAAGGTCTCCTATGATATCATCAAGATAACACATATGGAGTTGAAAATATCAGCTGGGATCCTCTTCAAAATTTACAGTATCATAGGCCATTGTAAATGTAAGTTATTTATTTATTTATTTATTTACAGTATTTATATTTCGCCCTTCTCACCCTGCAGGGGACTCAGGGTTACATACATGGCAAACATTCAATGCCATAGACACACAACACATATAGACAGACAGTCGGAGACTATATAACATTCCAATTTTCTGGCAACCAGGGGAGCTGTCGCTTCACCGTCCATCTGCGACACTGATGCATTTTCCGCATTCCCCGCATGCTTTTGTTGGAGATTTTTTATGGCCTCGTAAATTTGTTAAATTAGCCTCCGCACACACAGGTGGTACCTAAATTTCCTACTTGACAATGCAACTGTCTTTCGGGTTGCAAAGGTCAACAACAAGCTACACAATTGGCCGGAAGCTCACTCCGACCCGGCTGGCTTCGAACTCATAACCTTTCCGTCAGTAGTGATCTTAATGCAGCTGACACCCAGCCAACTGCGCCACAATCCTGGTGCCTATGATACTGTACATTTACAGTTGTAGCACCATTGCAACTTGCCTGTTCATGCTCAGCATTATCTTTAAGATTTTAATTATTACATTTGGCCCAGCCATAGGTTTTTTTTTAAACGTCGTTGTGTTATTGTTAATGTTCATTGCTTATTTTTTGTTATGAGTTTTATTTTATTGCTTGTATTATTGTTGTTATTGTTTGTATTACTGATGTGGGCTCCGCCTCATGTAAGCTGCACCGAGTCCCTTGAGAGATGGTAGCGGGGTATGAATAAAGTTTTATTATTATTATTATTATTATTATTATTATTATTATTATTATTATTTTCACCTTGCCTTATGGTCAACCCTCCTGTTTAGGGAGCTCCATTGGCTGCCGTCCATTTACTGGACCCAATTCAAGGTGCAGGTGCTTACCTCCAAAGCCCTAAACGGTTTGGGACCCGCCTACCTGCGTGACCGCATCTTTGTGTACGAACCCACATGATTTCTTTGATCATCTGGAGAGACCCTGCTCACGCTCCCACCACCATCGCAAGCGCAATTGGTGGGGACAAGGGAGAGGGCCTTCTCGATGATGGCCCCTAGACTCTGGAACTCACTCCCCAGGGATATTAGACAAGCCCCAACTCTGGCAGTCTTTAGGAGGAGACTGAAAACATGGCTGTTTCAGTGTGACTTCCCAGAATAGGAAACTCCCAGCAATATGTCCTCAAATGCACTTTAATAATGATTTTGGATTGTCTGCACATTTCTTCCCTCTTCAAAACCTTTATTCCAATTACTTGCTACCTGCTCATGCCCAGCATCATTTTTTAAATTTTTAATTATTGCATTTGGCCCAGCCATTGGTTTTTAAATGCATCGTGTTATTGTGTTATGAGTTTTGTATTGTTTTTGTATTATTGCTGTTATTGTTGTGTTTGGGCTCGGCCTCATGTAAGCCACACCGAGTCCCTCGGGAGATGGTAGCGGGGTACAAATAAAGTCTTATTATTATATTATTATTATTATTATTACTGTTGGGAGAGAATGAGACACATCAACATATCTCTCCTGCACCTTGGAACTTCTTCAAGTTGCTGTGGTTTTCAAAGGTGCTGTTAGACAGTTGTATCATCAGACATAGCTATAACAATGGAGCTCCATCATGACAGCTACGTCTTGTTACTCAGAAGAAGCTCCATCATCATAACTATAGTGATAGAGCTACAGGACATCTCATTGCTCAGGATAAGTTCCATAATCATAGCTACGTCTTGTTACTCAAGATAAGCTCCATCATCATAACTATGTGTTGTTACTCAGGATAAGCTCCACTATCATAGCCACAACTCATTACTTAGGATAAGCCCCATCATCATAGCTGTGTCTCATCACTCAGGAGCTTTGCCATCTTTTCCATAATTCATTGAGGAGCCATACTCAACAAGCTGTTTGCCAGACCCCAGAGAGAATGAGCAGAATGGTGAAAAGGAGAACGTACCACTCTCCTGTCTGGAACCTGCTGGGTGAAGACTTTGTACAACCGCCAGCTTTTTCCTAGGATAGGGCCAAACGTCAGGGAACTGCCTATACACAATAGGCAGAGTCTTGCCTGTAAAGCCAGCAGGAAAAAGGGAGGTTTGAGATGTGAAGAGAGGAGAAATTCTTAATGTTCAGCAAGACATAACATGGGAGATCGGAAATAAGGATTTCTTGATTTGATCAAAGGTCTGGAGAACAAGCCCTATGAGGAACGGCTTAAGGAGCTGGGCATGTTTAGCCTGAAGAAGAGAAGGCTGAGAGGGGATATGATAGCCATGTATAAATATGTGAGAGGAAGCCACAGGGAGGAGGGAGCAAGCTTGTTTTCTGCTTCCTTGGAGACTAGGATGCAGAACAATGGCTTCAAACTACAAGAGAGGAGATTCCATCTGAACATGAGGAAGAACTTCCTGACTGTGAGAGCCGTTCAGCAGTGGAACTCTCTGCCCCGGAGTGTGGTGGAGGCTCCTTCTTTGGAAGCTTTTAAACAGAGGCTGGATGGCCATCTGTCAGGGGTGATATGAATGTAATATTCCTGCTTCTTGGCAGGGGGTTGGACTGGATGGCCCATGAGATCTCTTCCAACACTTTGATTCTATGATTCTATGATTCTATGGTTTGGATTAATAAAACTACTATTTCTGGTGTATAAGATGACTGGGCATATAAGACGACCCCTAACTTTTCCATTTAAAATATAGAGTTAGAGATATACCTGCCGTATAAGACTAATAATAATTAAAAAAAACTTTATTTATATACTGCTCTATCTCCCCGAGGGGGACTCAGGGCAGTTTCCAAGCAACATCACCAAAACATACAGAGTAAACAGCATAACTTAACATTAACAAAACAACATAAGCATAAAATTATCACAATAACAGATATATAAAATAATCCTGCCTGTTCAGAGCAATTAAAAGACTGGGACAAGGCTAGTGCAAACTCAAAATATGAGGGGACTGGGAATTAAGGACGGGTCTGTGGTTGCTCATTTCTAGGGCCCATTAGAGGGATGACTGGGGTAATAGGTAGTAAGTATAAGACGATATTCAACAATGTTTGGGACTGGGCTAGAACTGGTCATTCTCAAAGGCTTGTTGAAACCACCAGGTCTTCAAGCTCTTACGAAAGAAGGGGAGGGATGGGGGCTGTCTTATTTCCCTTGGAAGGGCATTGCAGAGGTGGGAAGCCACCACCAAGAAGACCCTCTCTCTCGTCCCCACTTGTGACAGTAGTGGGAGCAAAAGGAGGGCTTCCCCGGAAGATTATTTAGACTACCCCTTTTGCTAGCCCCTCCAGACCCCGAAGCCTCCTTTCCTGGACCTTGAGGCGGCTTCTCAGCTCCACAGAGGCGGCTTCCCCTTCGCAGCCTAGCCAACCACCACGCTCATCACTTACTTCCTGTTTTGAGTCCAGACACTTGAGAAAACAAGACGGAGGCTCCGAAATACCGGGCGATGGAGGCAGGCAGCTACGCTCCCACTGGAGTAGGGTGCCTGAAGCAGTTGCTGCTGCTGCGCCCCTCCAGCGCCGCTTGAGTCCCCAGGCTCCCGTTGCCGGCCTTCAGCCTCCCCGAGGGGCTCCTCCACTCCATGCTGACAGTGCAGCAACGGAGGAGGAGGAGGAGGTGACGTGAGGCTGGGAGCCTGCCTCCCTCGCCTGGTATTTCAGACCCTCGATCTTTTTATACCCGGTGTATAAGACAACCCCCAACTTCTGAGAGGATTTTCCAGGGTTATAAAGTTGTCTTATATGCCGGGAAATACAGTAGTTGCCACCATTGCCTTACTTGTTAGAATTATAACTTTCCAGTTCCTAGATACACCAATTCAGATAATCTTAATCTGTGTTGTCTGCAATGTTTGCATCATGCTTCTGTATCATATTAAAATTGAATGATGAATTTGATGCATTGAAAGGCAGAATGTGGATACTCTGGAAACAAGATCTGCTCCCGCGCTCCTGATCTTTAGAAAAAAAAATGGAGATCATGGTTCTGGGACCAGGTCTTCGGGCAATAGATGTATGCAGCTTTTAGTGGGACAAGGACTGGAACGGTGACTTGACTGATGAGATTGTTTTATGGTTTTAATAACTGTTTTGATGTTTGATGATGTTCTGTTTTTAATGTGATCTATGTTTAAAGTGTGGTTTTACTATTGTAGTTGTAAGGCATTGGATTTTTGCCATTTTCTATGTGTAAACCGCTTTGAGGGGTGAGAAAAGCAGTATATAAATGCTGTAAATAAATGCTGTAAATGCTGTAAATAATAAATAAATAAAATTGTTTCCCGAAAAAAATCAGTAAAGAAGACATAGAAAACAACTGGGGCATGGGGAGGGAATTCTGTATGCATCAATGGAACATATGGCAAGGAAACTAGTCCAATGTGGGCTAGGCAAAACTACGGTGAGGTGGATCTGTAATTGGTTAAGTGGACGAACACAGAGGTGCTCACTAATGCTTCCTCTTCATCTTGGAAAGAAGTGACAAGTGGAGTGCCGCAGGGTTCTGTCCTGGGCCCGGTCCTGTTCAACATCTTTATTAATGACTTAGATGAAGGGCTAGAAGGCATGATCATCAAGTTTGCAGACGACACCAAATTGGGAGGGATAGCCAATAGTCCAGAGGACAGGAGCAGAATTCAACACGATCTTGACAGATTAGAGAGATGGGCCAAAACTAACAAAATGAAGTTCAACAGTGACAAATGCAAGATACTCCACTTTGGCAGAAAAAATGAAATGCAAAGATACATAATGGGTGACGCCTGGCTCGAGAGCAGTACGTGTGAAAAAGATCTTGGAGTCCTCGTGGACAACAAGTTAAACATGAGCCAACAATGTGATGTGGCGGCAAAAAAAGCCAATGGGATTTTGGCCTGCATCAATAGGAGCATAGTGTCTAGATCTAAGGAAGTAAGGCTACCCCTCTATTCTGCTTTGGTTAGACCACACCTGGAATATTGTGTCCAATTCTGGGCACCACATTCAAGAGAGATATTGACAAGCTGGAATGTGTCCAGAGGGGGCGACTAAAATGATCAAGGGTCTGGAGAACAAGCCCTATGAGGAGCGGCTTAAGGAGCTGGGCATGTTTAGCCTGAAGAAGAGAAGGCTGAGAGGAGATATGATAGCCATGTATAAATTTGTGAGAGGAAGCCACAGGGAGGAGGGAGCAAGCTTGTTTTCTGCTTCCTTGGAGACTAGGACGCGGAACAATGGCTTCAAACTACAAGAGAGGAGATTCCATCTGAACATGAGGAAGAACTTCCTGACTGTGAGAGCCGTTCAGCAGTGGAACTCTCTGCCCCGGAGTGTGGTGGAGGCTCCTTCTGTGGAAGCTTTTAAGCAGAGGCTGGATGGCCATTTGTCAGGGGTGATTTGAATGCAATATTCCTGCTTCTTGGCAGGGGGTTGGACTGGATGGCCTCATGAGGTCTCTTCCAACTCTTTGATTCTATGATTCTATGATATCCCTGTACCCCTTTGAATCGCAATTTATTGCCAATGTAAATGTGCCCAATTTGACCAAGGCACATGCCTTCCCTTCCCTTTGGCTTCACTCACCTGAAAAAGCATCTCCATGGAAGGTTTGGTCACTGAATTCTGTTTTTCAGCACCAAAAAGATAAGCGCTGCCATAAGTCAAGCTGCTCCCCAAGAGAGTCACAACATTCAGGTTGGGACTGGACATCTTCACTATCCTCCAGTCAACCAAGAAATTAAGAAGAAAAGATAAGAATTATTTTTAAAGAAAGTTATTCTTAACCCAAACCATATCATCAGATGAGACTTCTTTGCTGTGCTTTCTCTATGAAAGTCCTGATTTCATGGAATCAGCTTCCAATCAGTTCTGTAGCTCAATATTCATGGAATGATTCCTAGTCCTTCTACTTCTATGTGTCATTTTCCCCCTGTGTTTGAGACCTAACCTCCTCCTCAAGAGGCATCCCCTTTGTATTCCTCATCCAGGACTGGCTGCTCTACTCCATCCATGAAAATCTCATGCTGAAGAGTAAATACAGGAGCCTCAAGTTGCTGGACTTTCTCTTCCAAAAGGGCAACTGACTTATACTTGCTGCAGATATAACTACGCACATTCTCTAGTCTAGCAAGAACACAAACAAGTTTACAGCAGCTCCCTCACCACCCATATTCAAGGAAGCTCTGAAACAGAACCCTAGGTCTATCCTGCACTTTAGTTTGGCCCACCCCACCAATCTCGACACTTTATCACCAAGGTATTCTCTCTAGATTGGCACACTTGAGTTTTTGCACTTTCCCTCGACTGTACTTAAGAATTTATTGCACTACTTATTGCACTCCCCCTGAAGCCACAGGTCCGCAGTTTGGGAGTCCTCCTGGATTCATCGCTTACGCTTGAGGCTCAGGCGTCGGCGGTGTCTGGGAGGGCTTTTGCACAATTAAGACTCGTGCGCCAACTGCGACCGTACCTCGCGAAGGCTGATCTGGCCGGAGTGGTCCATGCCTTGGTCACCTCTAGGTTGGATTACTGTAATGCGCTCTACGTGGGGCTGCCCTTGAAAACGGCTCGGAAATTCCAACTGGTTCAACGAGCAGCAGCCAGGATGTTGACTGGCGCTCCCTACAGAGAGAGGTCAACCCTCCTGTTCAGGGAGCTCCACTGGCTGCCGTTTATCTACCGAGCCCAATTTAAGGTGCAGGTGCTTACCTACAAAGCCCTGAACGGTTTGGGACCAGCCTACCTGCGTGATCGCATCTCCGTCTACGAACCCACACGCTCTCTTCGTTCATCTGGAGAGGCCCTGCTCGTGATCCCACCTGCGTCGCAAGCGCGTTTGGTGGGGACACGAGACAGGGCCTTCTCTGTGGTGGCCCCCCACTCTGGAACACCCTCCCCAAAGATCTTAGACAGGCCCCTACATTGGCAGTCTTCAGAAAGAACTTGAAGACCTGGCTGTTCCGATGTGCCTTTCCCGAATAGGAAACCTCCATTACCAAGTCCCACAAGCACTTTATTAAAGCCAAGATCGCCACACACTGCACACTGCACTTGTCCATAAGCCTCATTTCCACCTGTCACATCAGCACTTTTAACCCATGTACCCTTACTCTGGCCCGGCCCAGTTTTATTGTGTCTTAGTGGATTGTTCATTGCTTGTTGTTTTAGATTGCTTTAATTGTTTTTAATTTGCCTAGGTTGTATTGTTGTATTGTTGTTGAGGCCTTGGCCTTTGTAAGCCGCATCGAGTCCTGCGGGAGATGCTAGCGGGGTACAAATAAAGTTTAATAATAATAATAATAATAATAATAATAATAATAATAATAGACCCAACCCAATCCTGTTTTCTCAGCCATTATATTGTTTTAATGTTGTTATTGTGATTGTGTTATGTTTTTATTTCATTGATTTTAATGCTGTTGTTTTTATCTGTGATAACTGTGCTTGTCCCCATGTAAGCCGCCCCAAGTCTCCTTGGGGAGATGGTGGAGGGGTATAAAAATAAAGTTACTGTATATACAAGGGGTATTTTTTAAGTAAGGTCCGTTTTGTTGTAGACACTAGTAGTTCGCGCACATACTGCAACAAGCGCATGCGTCATGTACCAGCATGCCTCAGGAACAACTGTGCTCAGTTTCCGCTCTGTAGTTAACCTGTACGGTTCTGTTCTGTGCTTTAAAAATGTTTAAGACTATCAACTCACCCTCCGCATGTGAGGTTCGCTCAGTGATACAGTTTTTGTCAGCAAGGAACCTGCCTGCTGCAGAAATTCATCAACAGATTTGTGAAGTGTACGGTGATACTGTTATGAGTGAAAGCAAAGTGTGTAAATGGGTACGACAATTCAAAGATGTCCGTGACAACGTCCATGATGAGGACTGCTCTTCTTTGATTACAGACGATTTGGTGGCTTTTGGTGGCACCAAGTTTTTATGAAGAGGCTATTTTAAAATTGGTTCAGAGGTATGATAAGTATTTGAACAAACTTGGCAACTATGTCGAAATATAGAGTGAAGTATGTACTTTCTGAAAATAAATTTACTTTTTTGAAATAAACTTTCGTTGTGTGTTTATGTTCAAACGGACCTTACTTAAAAAATACCCCTCGTAACGAGCTGCAAGGACAGGCGGATATTACAATTATTATTATTATTGAATGCAATTTTATGAATCAGCACCTCAAACAATCCCAGGAACAGGCCTAAAAAACAATTCACCAAGCATGTTTTTGTTGGGCTGTGTGATGTTTGACAGTCTTGAGAACACTAAAAGAAGAGAATTAGAATATTTATTATTTCCTATATTTATACCCCACTCTTCTCCCCCTGAAAGGGGGCTACAAATATTACAAAAGAAGAAGGAAAATAACTTTCTTCTATTGTTTTTCCTTTATGTTCTTTTGTTTTTACCTTATGTTCACATTTCTTATAGGATATCTTCCTATATTGCACAGCACAGGATTATTTCTAGCAACACCAAGACAACAACTTATAGCAGAGATTTCCAAAAACCTTTTTCTGGAGGTTTTTAAACAAAGGCTGGATGGCTGTCTGTTGAAAAGGCTTTGACTGTGTCTTCCTGCCAGGCAGCCTTTGTTCGTGGAGAACATTTTTCATGCAACACACTAGCAACATGCTAGTGTGCCCCAAAAGCTCTGCCTTGTAGCAATTATTTTGTTTACTAAAGGTTATCAGCAGAATTGGCTTCTGATCTTACCTATTATTTCTGAAGTGAATGGTGAAGATGAGAAAGAAGAAGCTCAGCAGGACACCACAAGTAAGAAAGCCCAACATAGTTCCCAAGAGGCTGGCTGAAAAGGAGGAGGACGAGGACGAGGTGGAGTTCTCACAGGTGCTGCTTGAGAAAGGCTGAGGAAGACAAAAGCCAGGGACAATAAGAACCCATGGGGAATCTCTTCTCTTTAAGAAAAGCTTGGTAAGGAAAGTCTACTGCACACAAAACAGCACAGTTGTTTGTTGGTCTGTTTATCCTCTTGAAAAAATAAATAAACAGCAACAGCAGATAATAAAGCAAAGGCAAAATCCTCCAATCTGGCATAAAATGGATGGACGTAATAATAGAACCTAGTCTCAAACTTTCCTTGCAGAGGAAGTGGGAGAGAGCTAGTGAAATGTGCAATCATGATGAGAACTTAGAAAAAAATGATATTTTAATACTTTTTTTTGCGTAACATCAGGGATCTACCCATTTGACATAATGTAAGCATAACATAACATTGGGGCCATGAAGTCAGTTCCATCTTGCCTCCAGGGTCATCAGTTGGAGCCACCCCCAGGACCAATTGCTGCTCTGAGATCAGAGTGAAGAGAAGGGCCAGGAAGGCAGTTCCATCTTGTCTCCTGCACTGTGCTTATGATATTGATGAGGAGATATTGGGAAAATATAGATATTTATTGATTGAGCTATGCATAAAATCATATGTATCTTACAAGCACTGAAATGCATAGGATTTTCAAGTTCTCTCTGTGTGTAAGAGACCCAAAACAAGCAAGCTACCTCCAAGGCATGGCAGGAGGGAGGAGAAGGGGGGTATGCATTCCAGAAGAGAGATAAGCCTGTTGGAGAAACCCGTGCTAGGATGAAGAAGAAGCCTTTTGACATCTCAAAGTGGTCTTTGATTGATGACTGTAAGCACAGCCAAGAGGGAGGAGGAAACATCTCCATGCTTGCTCTGCAAGGCAGAGACATGCCTTTTGCATGTTTGGAGGTAGAATTTGATGCCAAAATGACGTAGGGATGACGATGATATATGTTATAGTATGTTCTTTGTCTACTTGAGTCTGAAACTTATAAAAGGCCAGTCCGCACCTTGATCGCGGCTGGTGTGATTAGAGGTGACTCCACACCAGGCTCCAGCTGGATAAATAAACGTGCTTTAAAGTCTCCAGACCTCTCTCTGTGTCTCCTTTCATCAAACCGCTCCTGCTACTACAATATAATGTAATATAATATAATATATATACATATAATATTGATAATATTATAATGTAATACAATATAATACTAATAATAATAATAATAATATATTATAATTATATATATTACATATATATATATAATATATGTAATATATATAATTAGTAATATTAGTAATATTACTAATAATCTGGCCCTCCAACAATTTGAGGGAATGTGACCTGATCCTTTGTTTAAAAAGTTTGAGGAGCCCTGATCCACATTATCTTCTTTAAACTGGATTATATGAGTCTACACTACCATATAATCCAGTTCAAAGCAGATAATCTGGATTTTATATGGCAGTGGAGATGGGCCCTGATATTTATAAATGCTGCTGGATTCCTTCATTGCCTGATCCCTCTCTCCCCAATTTTACATTGAAACAGATTAACATAGCTCTTTATAATCTGCAGCAATGGAAGTAATGTATAAGGAGCCTGACATTCAAAGCTATGGTGCTTTGAATCCTTATATTTACTCACCGTTGTTTTAGTACAGAGATCCCGGAGGTTCTTCTGCTCCCCTTCTTGGCTCTTGAAATCAAACCAATTGGAATAGTTGAAACCAGTCTTCATGGCACACTGAAAGCCTTTATTCAACCACATGGTCTTGTTTTGGGGAGATAGGGTGGAATACAAATAAAGATGATGATGATGATGATGATTATTATTATTGTGCAGTTGCGCGTTGGGCCGGTAGGTTATTAGGAATTGTGGGAGTTGAAGTCCAAAATACCTGGAGGGTTGAAGTTTGCCTGTCTGGTGTACACACTATACTCTTGTTGATGCAGCTTAGAATCACATTGGCTCTTCCAGCTGTTGGCTCATGTTTAGCTTGTTTGTTGTGTGTTTGTTTGTTGTATGGCCATGTTCCAGAAGCATTCCCTCCTGATGTTTCACCTGCAGCTATTGTTCACCTCTGAGGTTGACCACTCTCTGAGGATGCCTGCCATAGGTGCAGGTGAAACGTCAGGAGAGAATGCTTCTGGAACATGGCCATACAACCCGGAAAACTTACAACAAACCAGTGATTCCGGTCATGAAAGCCTTTGACAATACATGTTTAGCTTGTTGTCCACTAAGACTCCTAAATCCATCTCTTATGGGCTGTTTTCAAGCCAGGAGTCACCCAGCCTGTATCTGTGTATTTCATTTTCCCGCCCCCGGTGGTGCAGTGGGTTAAACCCTTGTGCCGGCAGGACTGAAGACCGACAGGTCAGAGTTTCGAATCCAGGGAGAGCACGGGTGAGCTCCCTCTGTCAGCTCCAGCTCCCCATGCGGGGACATGAGAGAAGCCTCCCACAAGGATGGTAAAACATCAAACATCCAGGCGTCCCCTGGGCAACGTCCTTGCAGACGGCAAATTCTCTCACACCAGAAGCGACTTGCAGTTTCTCAAGTCGCTCCTGAAACGAAAAAAAATTCTACCAAAGTGGAGATGCTACAGTAACAGTTATTTCATCCAACATGGTGATGGGAGAGGCAAATAATGCAGTTAAATAAATGTAAATATCCATTATCCAGCCTATATTGGCAATTTGGTGTCTTGTTCCTCTGCCTTTTCTAAACCCAGCTTGTACATCTGGCAACTCTCTCTCCATGTATTGTTGGAGTCTTCCTTGCAGGATCTTGAGCATTGGGTATAAAAATATGGTATATAACTATTTCAGATTGTGGCTAACTTTCACTACGTAACATCATTTTTGTTCCTGGGTTATAAAGGTTTTGTGGCGCAGCACCGGGATTGTGGCGCAGCTGGCTGAGTGTCAGCTGCATTAAGATCACTCTGACCAAAAGGTCATGAGTTCGAAGCCAGCCCGGGTTGGAGTGGGTTTCCAACCAATTGTGTAGCCTGTTATCGACCTTTGCAACCCGAAAGACAGTTGCATCTGTCCCGTAGGAAAATTGGGTACCACCTTAAAGTGTGGGGAGGCTAAATTAACTGATTTATGAGGCCATAAAAAAGTCTCCGGCAAGCACTCCAGCAAAAAGCATGCGGGGAATGCGGAAAGTACTTCATCAGTGTCGCAGATGGACGATGAAAGCAACAGCTCCCCTGGCGGCCAGAAAAAGTTAAATATAGCCTCTGTCTATGTCTGTATATGTTGTATGTCAAAAATTAGCATTGAATGTTTGCTATATATGTGTACATTGTAATCCGCCCTGAGTCCCCTGTGGGGTGAGAAGGGTGGAATATAAAAGCTGTAAATAATAAATAAATAAATAAATAAATAAATAAATAAATACATTGGTTCTATCATTAAGAAAAACATGGGGAAAATTTATGAAACTGCACAAACTTTGGTTTTTGATGCACACGCTTTTCAATGAATATCCCATAGAGTCTTAACCAACTCAACATAGTTTGTGGCAGTCACAAAATCCAACTTTCTGGAGTAGAACAATTACTTTTTAAAGTAAGTACCACACAATGAAACAGAAAACTTTCAAACCAGGAATGGATTTTTTTTCCAAATGTTGTCACATAGTGTTATCACATTGCCTTGGTAAGCAATCTATCTCTCTATACATATAATAAAAGTCAAAGTTTGTATGCGGAGGACAAAAGTGTGGCGGTGTGGCAGGAGGAGTATGTGCCAGCTTTCTGATTGGCTGCCGCTGTGGTGCTATTTGCATATGGTCTCTGATTGGCCAGCTTCAATAGGAGCCCCTGGTGGAGAAAAGAGTTCATGACAGAAACGGGGACATGAGAAGGAAATTTGCATATGGTCTCTGATTGGCCAGCCTCAATTCCAAGATTCCGAGATGACAAAGAGATGAAAGGAAATGACCAGGGGCTCTGTCAGAAAATTACCAATACAGACCAAACTTGGCACACAGAGCCCCCATGACCCACTCTACATCCTACTGCAGTTTGGAGGAGGATGGACCATGGATGATGGGACTTGCAGTACCATCACTCACTTTCTGAGACCGCTATTGACCTCATCCAATGACTGATCAGGACCAAACTTGGCACATAGACCTTTCATGACCCACTTTACGCCCTGGTGTGTTTTGGCCAGGGATGGACCATGGATTATGGGACTTGCAGTACATTTGTTCAATTCCTGAGACCACTGCAACCCCCATCCAAATACCAATAAAGACCAAACTTGGCACACTGAGTCACCATGACACACTCTACATCCCGGTGCAGTTTGGAGGAGGATGCACCATGGACGATGGGACTTGCAATACCTACACTCCCTTCCTAAGACCATTACAACTGCCAACAATGATGGATCAAGACCACAATTCACACTGAGAGCCCGCATGATCCACTCTACATCCTGGTGCGGTTTGGAAGAATTTGGCAATGGATGATGGAACTTGCAGTCACTTCACTCACTTCCTGAGACTACTGCGACCCTCGGCAATGACTGATCAAGACCAAACTTGGCACACAGAGTCCCCATGACCCACTCTACATCCTGGTGCACTTTCAAGGAGGACAGACCATGGATTATGGGACTTCAAGTACCTCCACTCCCTTCCCAGGACTGCTGCAACCCTCATCTAATGTCCGATCAAGACCAAACTTGGCACACAGAGCCCCCATGACCCACTCTACATCCCGATGCTGTTTGGAGGAGGACGGATGATGGATGATGGGACTTCCAGTACCTTCACTCACTTCCTGAAACCACAGCGACACTTATCCAAATACCAAGAAAGACCAAACTTGGCACAGAGAGCCCCCTTGGCCAACGCAACATTCTGGGGAGGTTTGGGGGAGAACAGCCTATGGATGATGGGACTTGAAGTACCTAAACTCACTTTCTGAGACCACTGTGACCCTCATCCAATGACTGAGCAAGAACAAAACTTGGCACACAGAGCCCCCACGACCCACTCTCCATTCTGGTGCAGTTTGGAGGAGGATGGACCACAGATGATGGGACTCGCAGTACCTTCACTAACTTCCTGAGACCACTGCGAGCCATATAAATAACTGATAAAGACCAACCTTGATATACAATTCCTTTCTCTAATAACCCGGGCAGCGCCGGGTCCCCAAGCTAGTTATAACTAAACAACCCATTCAACTTGTATGCAGAACACATCATGCGAGGATGTGCGGGGCTTGACGAATGCAAGGCTGGGGTGAAAATTGCTGGAAGAAACATTAACAACCTCAGATATGCAGATGACACCACCCTGATGGCCGAAAGGGAGGAGGAGCTGAGGAGCCTTCTAATCAAGGTGAAAGAAGAAAGCGCAAAAGCCGGGTTGCAGCTAAACGTCAAAAAAACCAAGATTATGGCAACAAGAATGATTGACAACTGGAAAATAGAGGGAGAAACCCTGGAGGCCGTGACAGACTTTGTATTTCTAGGGGCAAAGATTACTGCAGATGCAGACTGTAGCCAGGAAATCAGAAGACGCTTACTTCTTGGGAGGAGAGCAATGTCCAGTCTCGATAAAATAGTGAAGAGTAGAGACATCACACTGGCAACAAAGATCCGCCTAGTCAAAGCCATGGTATTCCCTGTAGTAACCTACGGATGTGAGAGCTGGACCTTAGGGAAGGCTGAGCGAAGGAAGATCGATGCTTTTGAGCTGTGGTGTTGGAGGAAAGTGTTGAGAGTGCCTTGGACTGCGAGAAGATCCAACCTGTCCATCCTCCAGGAAATAAAGCCCGACTGCTCACTGGAGGGAAAGATACTAGAGACAAAGTTGAAGTACTTTGGCCACATCATGAGGAGACAGGAAAGCCTAGAGAAGACAATTATGCTGGGGAAAGTGGAAGGCAAAAGGAAGAGGGGCCGACCAAGGGCAAGATGGATGGATGGCATCCTTGAAGTGACTGGACTGACCTTGGGGGAGCTGGGGGTGGTGGCGGCCGGCAGGGGGCTCTGGCGTGGGCTGGTCCATGGGGTCGCGAGGAGTCGGAGACGACTGAACGAATGAACAACACAGAAGACAACAACAAGTGGTACAATAAAGCCTTATTATAGCAGAGGACATTCACAGTAAAATATGATCTTGTTCCAGCAGAACTTACCACCTGTGAGGAATAAGAAGCTCTCTTTCCCTGCTGCCCCCAAGACCATGAAGTGCCAGGGAAGCCGCTTGGAAGCCTGCTGCCCCTCCGCCCCCTCCTCTCTCCCTGGTCCTTCGGGGGGCGTGGCCTTAGTGAGGGGGCGGGGCCTTCAAAGCCCTGGTCGAAAGAGGCCTCTCAAGACTGCATGGCCCTGGTCGAAAGAGCCCGTGGAGCGCGAGGTGGAGCGCGAGGCAAGGAGTCACGTGACGGCAAGGAACGCGAGGCAGGGAGGGAAGGGAATCTTTCACACAAAATAGGGAAAGGCTCAGTTGCTGGAAAGCTATTGCAACAAAGCTCTCTGCTTTCAAGACTTGAGCGCCTTGCTTCCTTGTTATGCACTGCAGTCTCCCACTCAACCGCTAAATCTGTCTAAATAAAAATGTAATGCTCGTTGGTGGGATTAACAGAACTCAAAAACCACTGGACAAATTGACACCAAACTTGGACATGATACTCCTAACAACCCAATGTATGTCCTTCACTCAAAAAAATTGATTTTGTCATTTGGGAGTTGTAGTTGCTGGGATTTATAGTTCACCTACAATCAAAGAGCATTCTGAACCCCACCAATGATGGAATTGAACCAAACTTGGCACACAGAACTCCCATGACCAACAGAAAATACTGGAAGGGTTTGGTGGACATTGACCTTGAGTTTGGGAGTTGTAGTTCACCTACATCCAGAGAGCACTGTGGACTCAAACAATGATGGATCTGGACCAAACTTGGCACGAATATTCCATATGCCCAAATATGAACACAGATGGAGTTTGGGGGAAATAGACCTTGACATTTGGGAGTTGTATTATTATTATTATTATTATTATTAATCAAAGAGCATTCTGAACCCCACCCACGACAAAATTGGGGCAAACTTCCCACACAGAACCCCCATACTTAAGGCTATCCAGTCCAACTCCCTTCACCTGGGCAAGAAAACGTAATTAAATTCGGACATAATACGTCTATCAGGCCAACAAATGACCATCACGCAAAAAATTGATTTTGTCATTTGGGAGTTGTAGTTGCTGGGATTTATAGTTCACCTACGATCAAAGAGCATTCTGAACTCCACCAACAATGGAATTGAACCAAACTTTGCACACAGAACTCCCATGACCAACAGAAAATACTGAAAGGGTTTGGTGGGCATTGACCTTGAGTTTTGGAGTTGTAGTTCACCTACATCCAGAGAGCACTGTGGACTCAAACAATAATGGATCTGGACAAAACTTGGCACGAATATTCCATATGCCCAAATATGAACACAGATGGAGTTTGGGGGAAATAGACTTTGACATTTGGGAGTTGTAGTTACTGGGATTTATAGTTCACCTACAATCAAAGAGAATTCTGAACCCCCCCACGACAAAATTGGGGCAAACTTCCCACACAGAACCCCCATACTTAAGGCTATCCAGTCCAACTCCCTTCACCTGGGCAAGAAAACGTAATTAAATTCGGACATAATACGTCTATCAGGCCAACAAGTGACCATCACTCAAAAAATAGATTTTGTCATTTGGGAGTTGTAGTTGCTGGGATTTATAGTTCACCTACAATCAAAGAGCACTCTGAACCCCACCAACAATGGAATACAACCAAACGTGGCACACAGAACTCTCATGACCAACAGAAAATACTGGAAGGGTTTGGTGGGCTTGACCTTAAGTTTTGGAGATGGTAGCGGGGTATAAGTTTTTAATTATTATTATTATTGTTATTATTATTATTATTATTATTATTATTATTATTATTATTATATATTTCAGTTCAAAGCAAAAAATTTTTTATTCAGCTGTGTGAAAGGGGCCCTAGTCTCCAGGGCAGCAGAAAACAAGCCTGCTCCCTCCTCCTTATGACTTTCCCTCACATATTTATACATGGCCCTCATCATGTCTCCTCTCAGCCGTCTCTTCTACAGGCTAAACATACGCAGCTCCCTAAGATATTCCACATAGGGATTAATAGTTTCCGGATCTTTGAATTTGATTCTACTATTTGCTATAAATGTCCCGGTTACAATTATCATAATCTTCCAGTCAGGGGCGGCTCATCCATTACGCAAACTAAGCGGTCGCAGAACACTTTTTTTTTGCCAGGGGCGCAGAGGCGCCTCTGTAAATGCCCCTCGACCGCCACTTGAGGAGCGCCCCCTCAGCTCACAACAGCCCTAGCAGTCTGGGGAGATCCTCGGCTTTCTTGCCTCGCTGCCGGGCGATCCTCTTCCCAAAGAGGCTGGGTCTTTGAGCCCCTCTTGTTCCTACTCCACCCGGCCACAGGGTGCGCGGCACTCAATCGTTCTCTGCGTTCGATCTCTTCCCCATGACTGGCTCCCTTTCCCGATCCCCTGGCGCTCCACCCGTCTCCCCTCCCCAATCCGCGGGCGGGCCAAGGGGCAGAGCCACCACGCCTGGCCCGCTTCGGGTCCGGAGGTGTGTCTGAAGATCCCAGCATGCGCACCAAAAGTCGCCTCTTCTCCTGACTTTCTCTTCAGCCATTGGGACAGAGAGAGAGAGAGAGAGAGAGAGAGAGAGAGAGAGCCCCTCCGGCTGGAGGTATCTCCCACCTCCGCTCCCTCCTTTGTTTTTGCGCCTACCTTCAGGAAAGGTGGGCATCTCCACCTCTCTCTCTCTCTCTCTCTCTTGGTCCCAATGGCTGAGGAGAAAGTCAGGAGAAGAGGTGACTTTTGGTGCACACGCCGGGGTCTTCAGGCACGCCTCCGGACCCAAAGCAGGAGCAAGTGCGGCAAGTGTAGTTACTGGGATGTATAGTTCACCTACAATCAAAGAGCATTCTGAACTCCACCAATGATGGAATTGAACCAAATATGGCACACAGAACTCCCATGACGAACAGAAAATATATATCAATGATTGGTTGGGAGGGGGGTGCCAAAATACTGTTTGCTTACCGTTGAAAATTACCTAGGGCCGCCTCTGCTTCCAGTACATGGGATCGTCCTTTCCATAGCTCAGAAGGAAACGTGTTCTCCCATAACTTCTAAATGTCCCTCAAAATGTTGTGCCCTCCCACATATCACATACGTTTTCTTGATGAGCCCATCGGCTGAATCAAAACATTTAAAAAACATGTTGTGCCTTCCCCTTTAGCCTGTCCATCGGCTCTTGTACTTGCTTGTGCTTAGGGCTGTATAGTCTGGCTTCATTTTATCCAAACCAAATAGGTCAGCCACATTTGCATTCTGAAATTGAATCTGTTTCCTTATGGTCCTCTGAGCAAGAGCAGCCTCTACTTAAATATTTAGCGGTCGGTTCTGCTCCAGTTCAAACAGCTGTTCAGATCCTCTTACTGATACAATAGCTGCACACAGGAGAAGTAATTGAACTTCTTCTGTATTGCCAAGAGCCTATTCACGCTGCTTGAAAAAGGGGAAATATAGGACTGGGCAGGCTCCTCCTTGTTCTGCAAGGAGGGGATATAAAGTTTCAAAATGGCAAGGTTTTTTATCTCGAGTTATGGTGCTTCATTGGCCAAACTGCTCAGACAGGAACATCACACTTGCAGAAGAAACATGTCTCTTTTATGTCATAGTTATGTGGGAAACCAGGCCTCCAAAGGATACCCTTTGAGCCACAGCTGATCAAAGTAGCAGATTTCATGAAGCAGCAGTTGCAAGGTCACAAATAAATACAGCCTGGATGAAATGGCAGCAAACTACTAGCATTTTTTATTTTTTACTATCTGCGTTTTCGGGTTGCTTTTTCGGTTTTATGCTGCTGTAATTTGTGTTTGGGCTTGGCTTTAAGTAAGCCGCACCGAGGGGAGATGGTGGCGGGGTATAAATAAAGATTATTATTATTATTATTATTATTATTATTATTATTATTATTATTATGTGTGACTCAAAAATGCCTGAAAAACTCAAGGCTAAGATCTATGCTACAGTTGTTCACCCAGTAGGCCTCTACGGTGCAGAGTGCTGGCCAGCAATAAAGAAACATTAATAAGCCCTTAATACAATGCAAATTAAAATGCTGAGAAGGACACTTGACTTGACACTTCTTGACTATGTGCCAAATTATGACATCCATCAAAGACTAGGAATAAAAGCGATCAGCAAGAAAATGTAGGAAGCAAGACTATGGCAGTACGGCCACGTCATGGGAGAACTATCATTGGTAGCACAAACAGCCCTGCATTTGGAAATAATGCCCTGCTCTGATCAATTCCCTGCAAAATGTCCTCATAAGCACTTTAACTACTCGTTCGGTTGGTCTCCCTACATTATCCTTTAAAACCCTCCTGCTTAAGATGCATCCTATCCCTGTTCACGCCCAGTGTTTATTTTAAAATTTTAATCTATTACATACGGCCTGGCCATAAAGTTTTTAATTTTTTGTGTGTTTATTGCTTATATGTGAGTTATATTAATTGTACTGTTTTATTTGCTTGCTGCTTTGTTGTTTACTGATGTGTTGTTGGGCTTGGCTTCATGTAAGCCACCCCGAGTCCCCTTGGGGAGATGGTGGCGGGGTATAAATAAAGTATTATTATTATTTACTAGCAGTCCCCTGCCACGCGTCTGGTGATCTGGAAAATAATGAGAAAGTGTTGGTTTCTAATATATGTAATTTCTTTATGCTTGTGGGTATTTCTTGCTATTTCTTTGTCAGTGTTGATGTGGCGATTGTCTGGTTTGCCTACTCTAGCACTACTGTTTGCCAGTTGGGGACGCAAGCATAATTTGAGGTGGTTTGAATTTGCCTTTCCCTGTGGCTGTAAGAATGGTATTTGCCCAAGATCACCAAGTGGAACTCTCAGCAGCTTTGATACTCTCAGTCATGGTATCCTTCTGGGCCACCTGCCTGTGATGGGCCTTGGGGGCACTGTTAGGCAGTGATTTTGCTTTTCTGTGGAAGAGCAACACAGACAGTGGTACTGGGGTCTTGTGAATGATACCCTAGACCAGGGGTCCTCAAACTAAGGCCCAGGGGGCAGATAAGGTTCTCCAAGGTCATTTACCTGGCCCTCGCTCAGGGTCAACCTAAGTATGAAATGACTTGAAAGCCACAGCAGCAACAACAATCCTATCTCATCAGCTAAAAGCAGGCCTACACTTTCCATTGAAATACTAATAAGTTTATATTTGTTAAAACTGTTCTTCATTTTAATATTTTAATTATTGTATTATTTTTAAGTGTTTTTGCACTACAAATAAGATATATGCAGTGTGCACAGGAATTCATTCATGTTGGGTTTTTTTCAAATTATAATCCGGCCCTGAAACAGTTGGAGAAACTGTGACCTGGCCGTCTGTTTAAAAAGTTTGAGGACCCCTGCCCTAGACATTAGCTTGTGGGGCCACCTCAGAGTTCTGTTTTGTCCCCAGTTAGATATTTATACGAAACCGCTGAGAAAGATCATTCTTTCTTCCTCATCCTCTTTTTTAAGCTAAAGCAGGGGAATAGTTTTGGTGATTGAAGTAAATAAAACAGCAGCAGCCCTTTTAATTACGTATGCATAGGACTGTCAATAATGAACTTGAAAAAATCCAGAGTTACAAGCTGGATAGATGCAGGGAATGCCGTGGATGTAGCGTACCTGGATTTCAGTAAGGCCTTCGACAAGGTCCCCCACGACCTTCTGGCAAACAAACTAGTCCAATGTGGGCTAGGCAAAACTACGGTGAGGTGGATCAGTAATTGGTTAAATGGACGAACCCAGAGGGTGCTCACCAATGCTTTCTCTTCATCCTGGAAATAAGTGACGAGCGGAGTGCCACAAGGAGGGTTCCGTTCAACATCTTTATTAATGACTTAGATGAAGGGTTAGAAGGCATGATCATCAAATTTGCAGACAACGCCAAATTGGGAGGGATAGCCAATACTCCAGAGGACAGGAGCAGGATTCAAAACGATCTTGACAGATTAGAGAGATGGGCCAAAACTAACAAAATGAAGTTCAACAGTGACAAATGCAAGATACTCCACTTTGGCAGGAAAAACGAAATGCAAAGATACAAAATGGGGGACAATGCCTGGCTCGAGAGCAGTACATGTGAAAAAGATCTTGGAGTCCTTGTGGACAACAAGTTAAACATGAGCCAACAATGTGATGTGGTGGCAAAAAAAGCCAATGGGATTTTGGCCTGCATCAATAGGAGCATAGTGTCTAGATCTAGGGAAGTAATGCTACCCCTCTATTCCGCTTTGGTTAGACCACACCTGGAATATTGTGTCCAATTCTGGGCACCACAATTCAAGAGAGATATTGACAAGCTGGAATGTGTCCAGAGGAGGGCGACTAAAATGATCAAGGGTCTGGAGAACAAGCCCTATGAGGAGCGGCTTAAGGAGCTGGGCATGTTTAGCCTGAAGACGAGAAGGCTGAGAGGAGATATGATAGCCATGTATAAATATGTGAGAGGAAGCCACAGGGAGGAGGGAGCAAGCTTGTTTTCTTCTTCCTGGAGACTAGGACGCGGAACAATGGCTTCAAACTACAAGAGAGGAGATTCCATCTGAACATGAGGAAGAACTTCCTGACTGTGAGAGCCGTTCAGCAGTGGAATTCTCTGCCCCGGAGTGTGGTGGAGGCTCCTTCTTTGGAAGCTTTTAAGCAGAGGCTGGATGGCCATCTGTCGGGGGTGATTTGAATGCAATATTCCTGCTTCTTGGCAGGGGGTTGGACTGGATGGCCCATGAGGTCTCTTCCAACTCTGATTCTATGAAATCAGTTTAGATACACTAATTCAATAAGGAGAAAGTGTCTGCATGTTTCTTGACCACTGAATGCTGCATGTACCCTTTAAATCAAACTCAAAGCAAAGTGTGTGGGATAATCAGATCTTCTCAAAACAAAGCAAACTCCCTCCTTTCAAGCTACAATTATTAACAATGATGAACCCAGGAATACTAGGTCAGCCCCTTGCCCCAAGCAAAGAGAAAATACATACTTTAAAAATTATACACATGTCACACATCAGTTCACTTTAGGGTTGCCTGCAAGTTGGAAAGGACTTAAACAAACATGACAACACCACAACATACACCCACTCAGAAGCAATGAGTTTAAGACGCATAAAAGAAAGATACAAAGTTTTGCTTAGTTTTGCTTTTAGTGTTAAAAAATCAACTCTCCTTATTTGAGGAATAGCCAACATAAAAAGTTCCACAAGGCACCTTTGAAACTTGGCAAACTAAATATGAGGCACATGATTACAAACAATGCAATTTGGTCGAACATCTTTATGAAAATTCACTGTGCAATCAAATGTGTGAGACAAGCAAGCAATGTGACTAATTGAGAATTTTAGGGACGAGAGTTGTTTTTATTCAATTTTACACTCCAGAGACATCTCTGTGAAGTTTCTTAAGAGAATTAAACAAGGAAAACCGCACCTCCCTGGTGCAATTAAGATGCATTATAATGACTCATTGAAGTAAGTAACAAAGCAGCACTCTAAGGATTAAATTTCATTACTTCTCATGAATTAAATCCTCCTTATTCATTGCTACAAACTAGAATGCAAATTAAAAGGGATCAAGGTTTCTCTCTTGCCAAACAACCCAAACAAGCTTTCAAATAAACACCAGGGAGGCCAGTCAAAGATGGGTGAGAAAGGCTGCATGAGCACCTAGCAAGGCACAGCAGAAAAAGATTAAAAAAGGACCAGAAGTCCAACTCCAGAAAAGCATCAAAGCCAGGAACCGTGTACATTGCTTCCAGTCAAACAGGTATTTTGTTCTTAAAGCATTTCCTACTGATCTTAATGCATTAAACTTGCATTTACAAACATCGCATCTGCTCTTCTTGGCTGAAGAGATGGCAGGGAAAAGGAGAAATGACAGGAAAGATAGACTAATTTATTCTCATTCAGGTTTTAGCACTTTCTGAATGTTCCTGATACAAAGAGATAAGGCATCAAGAGTATTTCAGATTCTAAGCACTTGAGAGTTGCTTTAATGAAGGCTTAAATACCTGTTAAATAGTGAATATTTATAGAAAACACTTTTGAATGCTAGATCAGAATAATCTTAATTGTTTACTCAGAAATGAACGCACATATTATCAACTGTCATCCAATTGTCAATAATCCTAGGAATCTAATAAAACAGGCTACAGTTCAACAAAGTTACATAATACAAAAGAAAACATGTAGCCAATAAGGATAGTAGAAGGCCCGCCCCGTCCCAACTTTTGATGTAATAGGTCCAAAACCCATGGTTACCTTTTGTCAAATTAGCCAGAAAACGAAGCAGCAAATGAGAAATGGATGTGATTGGGGCTGATAGCATTATTTAAACAATGTCATGATTCTATCCTATACAAAAAGCTGATTGGAAAGAGCAAAGGTGTTAGCCCTGGAAACCCTACAAAATCCATTATGAGTAATATTAGGACAAAATGTGTCACAGAATTGTTTAAAAGCCACTGAGCTTCCTAGACATCTGAATCATGCTAGAATCTAGTACGAAAAGCACAAAAATACCCACCACTCAAAAAAATTCATTAGCCAAAAAACACTGGCAAAAATAAGCAATATTTTCTTAGTCTAGAGGCTGTAGCCACAAGTTTTTAATTTAAACTTATTTTCAATATAGTGATAGCAGGTGGGATTTGGTCTTCTCTTTTTGCTGGAGTATCAAATTATACCTATAATTCTGTGACAGAAAAAATGCTGGCTTTTTTTAAATGTAAAGACCGGATGTTGCCAAAATCTGATTTTAGCAGACATCAATTAAGAGCTGAAATTACAAAATTCACTAATGTAACAATGAACTCCCTTCCTGCTACACTGAGACATTACTATGTTAAAAGCAAGAGCATGATATATGAAGAAGGAAAAATAAGGTTTGCAAAAAGATCAGCTCTACTGCTGATATTCAACATATTTGAATATTTTTATAACACAAGCAAACCTCCAGATTACATTGGATAACAACTCATGCTTTCTTTAACTAGTAACAATGGTGATTAAGTCAGTATAGAGTTGGAGTCCAACAAGATCTGGCCCCCAACACTTAACCTAAAGACAGATAAGATTGCTAGGGAAGCGAGTAAAAAAGTATTATTCTGCTAACTTTACAGACCCACCTTGCTGTTATAGTAATTCAACAGAGAAAGCCTTTAGAAATAGCAGAAATATTAATACAAGTGCCTTTAGATCAGTGGTTCCCAACCTTTAGATCAGTGGTTCTCAACCTGTGGGTCCCCAGGTGTTTTGGCCTACAACTCCCAGAAATCCCAACCAGTTTACCAGCTGTTAGGATTTCTGGGAGTTGAAGGCCAAAACATCTGGGGACCCACAGGTTGAAAACCACTGCTTTAGATCTTCTAGTGTTTTGGACTTCAACTCCCAGAAATCCCAGCCAGTTTAGCATCTGTTAAGAATTGTGAGAGCTGAAGTCCAAAACATCCGGAGGACCAAAGGTTGGGAACTACTACTATAGATCAAGATTATAACAGTATAGCCTTAACTGATTCTCACGATTATTCAAAACAAAACCACATTAAGAGAACAAAAGAATTCAGTTTTCATTAACTGCTTTATGCAAGGGTCTTTTCATCATTCCTCTCCATTCTGGCATGCACCTATGTGGGAGATCAAAATAATGTACCTTTTAAAAAGTGTTTCTATTGCAAAGATATCACTCTTTCCTAGCACTCAACCCACAATGTTGGGTTAAGTTTTGGAAAAACTCTTATCCAACTCGAGTGAGATAATTGAGGAAGGTAATTGTGGATGCACTTACAAAGACAAGTTGACATAAAGCATGTGGAAAAAGCATAGAATTGTTACTTGAAAAGATACCCTCTCTACATTTATCAGAACAGCAAATGTTGTAGTGGAATATGGGTGCACAACTCTCACTGATCGGCCTAACACCTGTAGTGAGAGCCAAAAAACCCAATCTCTCTGTGAATTTATAATACGGCGTTGTTTTTATCTCTTGTAGAAGACAGTACCTCTAACCCCTAATAAATCAATGTTTTAGGCAGGATACCTATAGCAGGAAAATAAGTATCTGAAAAAGTCAAACGAAGCAAGACAAGAAGACATTTACAGTATTGCTGTAAATACCATTGTAGTGCAGGTACTGGGAAAGGTACCAGAGACATCAATAACATATAATAATTATTAAAAGTATTTCCACTCTGATCTCTCAGTTATACAATACAAAGCCATATTATGCTAAGTGTTGCAGTATAAAGTGTCATAAAGGAACAAAAAGGCCACAAAAGGCACTAATGGTGCATCTCAAAGCAATACAGTATAAAGAAAGGCTTCGTTCTGTTTTTATAACAGAACATTGGTGATAGGCACTGTAAGCAAAGAAGGAAGAACATGTCAAGACCTAAGGGGTTTTTCTACTTTTGAGGAATGTTGTTAAAATAAATACACAGGAACCAAGCATCTGAAGTGAAGAAAGAGAACAATGTTCAAGTATGACAGATGCAGATAATAATACTGGGGAGTTCCCACCTTGCACTCCCCTCCATTATGCAATTTTAAATCACAGTGACTAAGAACAGTTCACTTCATATGCAGTCTCAGTAGTGCAGGACTCCAAGTGTCTTTTTAGCAGGCAACCGATTCCAAGGAGGCCCAGAATGACCACGTATCTTCACAGCGTCCCATTTGCCAGCTCCCTCCCTCAAGGCATGAAGCACCTGTAACCTTCCTGAAAGCACAGTTCCAAGGAAGTCCAGGTTTGTCCAGGTACACTTTCCATGAGCAAGCTACGATTTGGAGGATGCCTCTGCACAGGGTATTCGACACCACATGTGCTTCCACACCTCCTTTTCGAAAGCGACTTGCTGCAAGTCTTTTCGCTTCCTCTTCCTAGCCCAGAAGAACCTTTTGCATCCTGCGCGCAGCAACAATGGCTTCATCTTCTGAGTCTGACTCACTCTGGGAATTCGAACTCTGAGATGCAGAACTGCAAGGCGAGGAGCACTCCGGGGAACAAAGATAGTGCATCAGTGGAACGCGGTACTTGCCACAGAAGTCAACAAATTTGATTTGCCGGACACAGCTGTCAAAATAGACTCCTAAAAACAAACAAAAAGGTTTCTAAAAAAACACATTCTTCAATCGGTTATAAACAGTGTATCATGTTTGCATAAATACAGATACCATAGTTTGTATACATAAAAATACAAGCTATGTTTCTGAACAAGGTATGAATAGGCACTTTAAATAGTAAAAGCTAAGTCCTGAGTCAGTGATGTTTAAAAGTCAGTGCTCGGCCATCTGAACTTGCTGCAAATCAGTGGCAACTCTCTCTCAACCTGCAGTGTTGTGGTGGTGTGTGGATTTTTTAAAATGGAAAAACACTACCAGCTGCCAGCTTTTGATGCACATCATTTTAATCCAGCAAGTACATTCCTATTAAGAGGTTGAGAGAGTGTGTGACAGGCATCCTCAAATTGTGGCTCTCCAACTGTTTGGGCCTCCAATTCCTAGAGAGCTATCCAGCTCATTCAATCGTCAGGAATTCTGGAAGTTGGAGGCCCAAACAGCTGGAAGGCTGCAGTTTAAGGAGGCCTGGTACAGGACTTCACAGTGAATTTCCATGGTTGATCTCTGATTCAAATTCAAGTCTCCAGAGTAATACTCCAATGCTGAAATCATTATAGCATGCTGGCTATCATGATAAAACTAGCCATATTACCACTGCCCCCCAAAGGGGTGTGTGATGATGTGTATTTTTATTCCTATAGTTATGTGTTGTTTAGACAATAGTTAATAATGGTAAGTATGTAGAATTATATTTTGTTAGAGATGGTGGCTAGCTTGGCTTGCCTCTAGCTGAGTTGCCATAGCAACGGGGGCGGAGCCAACTGCCACTTAACAGCGCAGCTGTTTGAAAGTGGGCAGTCTGTAAGCCGGTGAGCTACAGAGAAGACTGGTTGTGTAGTGGGAGAATCAGGGAACTAGTCTGTATCCAGAGAACCACAGAAGTTGATCCTGTGTGGGTGTGGAAATCCAGCAGGAATCCTGTAGTGGTAGAACTACAGGGAGGACTGATTCCTTGGTTAAGAAATATCTTAACCAAGGAAAGATGGCTTATTTGTAGTAAAAGAACACTTTTTAAAGAAAGAAACATTTTCCTAAAGAAACCTTTTGAAGTCTGTTTAGTGCCTAAAGTTATTCAGGAAACCTTATCGATGTAACCAACTAAGTTTGTGCCTCTAGAGAAGTAACATTGGATCTGTTATACTCCTGTTATATAAATTTGTTACTGTTTGCCTCAAGCCTTGCCTGATACAGTTTCTTCTAAGTCAAACAGCCCTGCACAAGAAGAAAGGTCAATCAGGGACCTTAAATATCAGCTTCGCTATCGAATAAGTAAATCCTTCTTTAATTAATAGTCCCTTTATAAAACAGCTCCTAAGTTGATATTGATAATTACTGGGCTTCCTCGCAGGGGGAAATTGGAGTGGGCTTCAAGTTGAAAGCTGGATTTAAATGTGATGCAGAAAAGAGACAGGATACCAGAAAGAAAAACACTGTATCACATCTGCAGGATGTTATCGGTTTGCTTTGCTTTTTCCAAGTTAAATTTAAATCAGTGGTTCTCAGCCTGTGGGTGTTTTGGGCCTACAACTCCCAGAAATCTGTCAGTTTACCAGCTGTTAGGATTTCTAAGAGATAAAGGCCAAAACATCTGGGGACCCACAGGTTGAGAATAACTGGTTTAGATAGTCACAATGCACACCTATGTGTATTTATTCAGAATAAGACCAAGCAAGATAAATGGAACTTATACCAGGTAAGTATGTGAAGGATTGTAAGCTCTGTGTTATGAAAAAAATATATAAACTCAATACCACGAAGACACATTAAACATGCATCCACCTATCCTTAAGAAATGTTAATTTCATGTGGAAGTCATGTGGAAGAGTTTGCTGCCTGTTGCACCAGAGATAAGTACAATATATGATGCTTTAAAATTACAAGAAAATATATTCTACCTATACACTTGACTGTAAGAATTGTTCAATCATGAATATTCTGTCTTGGATGGTAGGGGACCTTCTTTCTTTTGATACATATCTCCCAAAAGTATATGTATTGGAACATGGCAGCACACTGCCAATCCTAACAGCTGGTAAACTGGCTGCGATTTCTGGGAGTTGTTGGCCAAAACACCAGGGGACTCACAGGTTGAGAACCACTGGACTAGACAGCCCTTGTGGTCTCTTCCAATTCTACGTAAATATCAACAGAAGACGAGAAATGAAGCAGTGCGACATTGTCAGTTTTCCTGAGAGCCCAATATTTAGTCCTCACTAACTTTTCTTTTGTCTGCATACCTTTGAAGTGGCTTCACAAGTGTGAAAAAAAGGAGCAAGGAGAGAGATCAACTTCTTTTTACCCCCTGAACACAGTTATTACATGAACTTTCTGGTTGTATTTTAAGAACTAGAGGCTACATTTATTTTTCCTCTCTTCACATTTTTCTTTTTTGCAACATCTTTCCAGGTTATTAAAGCTGGAGCCTTTTTGGCTGAAGACCAGGCTACACTTTTAAAAATAATACATACAAGCAATGCTGTTTTGATGCCAGTATTGAATTAAGCTAGCTTGTTAAGAGTGCTGTGGAGAGTAATGCTTCTATGGATACACTTGTTGCCTTTTGATTTTTACTGTCATGCCTCTATGTTAAAAAATAAAACTGATTTAATTCCACGTATATGCTCAAAGGCTTCTAAACTTAATTCAAAGGAATAGCAATCCCTTTTCCAACTCTAAGTGTTTTAGTTAACAGGCAACTATGTGGGGGACTATCTCCTCCCACATGAATGTGCCACTTTCGAAAAGCAGCTACTTCACTTCATGGGAAAGGGCAACTTTAGTGGCTTGCTCCACATTGGAATTTACTCCCTGTTATATGAAGTTAAAAAGGTTGTCATCTTCATCCATATCAAATTAAAAAATATTTTGAAATTCCACTCTGTTGTTACTTAATTGTATTTATTGGCTGTCATTTCTGTTGGTTGGGTTTATTTTTTGCTGTCTTTATTTTTTGCTTTGGAGTTGTGGTTTTAAAAGATTTTAGTATTTGCTGTAACCCAATTTGAGGATCTTGCTATCAAAAGGGGAAAAACAGGATTTAAAATAAATTATATTAAATCATTTAAAATGTGAAACACACTGAGCTTGTTCCTCAACTTAGTAATCAGACTTGACTGTTAACAACTTGGGCATCAAGAAGGGACAGAGGCCAATTCAACATGGAAGGTGTGACAAAAAGGCAGGAGAAAGGGGCTGGGAACAGAGCATACCTCCACATTTGGGGTTAGGGCAGTTGCTGGCCAAGTTCAAGTACCGGAGGAGGTTCCCAGGGAGATCACTAGGAATATAGGGCACATTACGGGTTTTGATTGTGCGTCCAGCCAACTCTTGGAGACTTGGAGGATTGTATGTCAAGTCACGGACAAATCGCACCACCAATGGATTTCCCCGCAAACTCAATTCTTCAAGATGCACAAGATTGAGAATCTCCCGAGGAAGATACGTCAGCAGGTTATTGTGAAGGCTAAGGGAACGCAAGGAATGCAACCTGGAAAGTAAAGAGATGACAATCTTGAGGTAATTATGTGCCAAAAGCTAAGTCCCCTCTTAGGGACAGAAGGAGTGACTGAAACTGTCTTGAAGGATTAACTAAGCTACACATCTCTGGCTAGCCCCTATCATTTAAAAAAGTGTAAGCCATGATGGCCAGAAGTGAGTTTTCATGGGTCATAAAAATTGCCCAAATAAGTGTGGCGGTCCTTAGTATTCATGGATACAAAAAATCATGGATGCTCAAGCCCCACTATAAATTTTCTTATATAAGAAATTTTCTTATATAAAATGAAAAAAAAAAAAGATTTGTTTTGGGGGAGGTTTCTGTTGGATGGTTGAACTCATAGATGCAGTCTACCGACTATACTTAGTATGAAGTTGGCAAGTTCTGCATGCTCTCCTTATCCATGGATTTGTTATCCAGTTTCACTTACCCATATTCAAAAAAATATCACCTATGGAAGTGTCTGTGGGCCTCTCTAGATTTTCCAGTGTGATTCTATCATAATTTTTGGCTCAAGCATAATACTGTTTAGCACTTTGAGACCTCGAGAAGCTACTCTAGGCCCGCCAGTGCTGTTTTATGGGATGCTTATAATTCAAGAATAGATAAATTTTAATGTTTGGTATTATCAGCGATTTTGGGTATCCACAGAGTTTTAGAATGTATCCACTAAGGTGAAGGTCATACTTTTCATCCAATCCGGATCCAAGTTGGCTGAACCCTTGGTAATGGGTCGGATGGGGTTACTGAAAAAGATGCATGGCAGTGCAAAAGTATGTAAATCACATTTGATGTGTATGTGTGTGTATGTGTATATATATATGTGTGTGTGTGTGAATTATTTTGTCACATATATATATATATATATATATATATATATGACAAAATAATCCACAGAGGCCAACACTGATCTGTCTTCTGAATCCCTCCTCCTCCTCACCCCCACCAAACCCACTCATTCCATACACTCACAACTGCTTCTCACATAAAAGTGCAATGCTGATTTAGGATATATACAATCAGAGGTGCATTCTCTGTGAAATTTCATTCATATGCATGTTACTACGAATATCAAGAAAACAAGTTTGTTGGCTCAAATAAAGGCTACGTCAGATCACTGACACTGCTATCCTATACCAATATACCAGATTAAGCCACCTCGAACTTGACAGAATTTATCCCTGATCAGATGTTAATTACCATATTAAGGAGATTAGTTACTTGTACAGAAATGCCATGTGAAATATAGTTTTTATTATTATTGTTCAAATTTCTTCCAATTTTGGGGCCGTATGCATGCTGTGAATTTGCAACACATTCCAAGATATAGATGTGAAGGCAAAAACAGAGGGAAAATAGGGAGAAATGGTTTTTCCTGGAAAAATAATGGTGAGGGATTGGACAAGGTGTTCCCACATTCCAAAATTATTTCTCAATTTTATGTAAGTGGGAGTTTTATGTAACTCTATGTACAGCAACAAATCACAGTGATCTTGGTTTCCTTTTGCAAGTTCATTCTATAGACAAAATTACATTATATACTCTTAACACTATACAGAACTAGTGAAGACAAAATAATTTTCTCTCCTTTGCTAACATTGCTGCTTTATCCGTTTTTTGTTGGGGTGTTTTGCCTGCTCCTCAAACTAGCAAAACCAAGGAGTATCATTACAGTATAGAACTCTGTAACAACATTTTTAGCAAAAAAATAATTTTTAAAAAGGATTTTCAATTTGTAATTGTGTTCTTAAAAAAACTACACCTTCAAATCTAATGCACACCTCAATTTTCAAAACCCTGAAACAAAAAAAAAAGTATTTGCTGGCAAATTTAATGCGCAGAAACAAAAAGTGAACTCTTTGCAATTTGCATTACAGTGGCTGTCTGCTTAAAATTCCGAAGTGTTAGAACACCAAAATTTCCAGCAATGGAAAATAAAACTTTGGGGTGCCTCTATGTTGTAGAATGAATGAACTTTAACTGCTCTGGCTCAATGCTATGGGATCATGGGGGCTGTAGTTTGGGATCACGGGGGATCTCCAAATCCCCAGTGATTGTCAGGGTTGAATCCTATGCAGTCCTGGGATTTGTAGATCCCCCGTGATCCCAAACTACAGCCCCCATGATCCTTCAAAGAGGATCTCCAGATGCTCCTGAAGCAACTTCCCTTTTGATTTGGCTCGGCACTAAGATTACCATATTACGCAAATCTAATGCATATCCTAATTCTGGGAAGGTAATTTAGCCAAAAAAGGTGAGCATTAGATTTGAATAAATATGGTATATTTTTAAGATGGGGGGGGGGGAGGAGTTATACTGCATTTTTAAGGTTTCCAAAATTGCACCTCTGCCTATATTGTGAGCAATCAAACATAGCTTCCTTCCTTCTTCCAAAAAAACATGTATGCATTCTGAAACAAATATCAGATTTCTACTACTACAATTTAGATCAGACCAAGAGAAATATTAAAAAGTATAAAAATACTTACTGTGCTAACTGAGGGGGAATACTCTGTATTTTGTTATCACACAAGACAAGGTAACTTAGTGAAGGCAAGTTTGCTAACTCAGGTGGAACTGAAGTAATGAAATTTCCTCCAAGATACAAGAATTCTAAACTGAAAAACAAAAGCAAATTGATACACAGATTGTTAAAACCAAATTATCTCATCTCAGACTATTCTCACAAAAGATATAATTTTACAAGCAAAAATAGCATGAAAAGATAAACTGGGGGTATATTTTCTAAACAAACTTAGGGAGCACAAGGAATGCAATCTGAAAGTTAAACACTGAAAAATGAAGTACATCTATCCCCAAAATTTAGTTCCTTCTTTATCTATACTTATTTGGCATAACATATCATGCTGAGTTGTTTAGAGGCTTACTTGTGGACTTTACTGGGTAAACTCTGTTGTTGTTTATTGTTTCGTTTTTGGTTTGTGTTTTCGGTTTTACTTTATTGTAAATTGTTGTTTGGGCTTGGCCTCATGTAAGCCGCTCGGAGTCCCAATTGGGGAGATGGTGGCAGGGTATAAACAAAGTTTATTATTATTACTATTATTATAAAATGGGAGGAGGTTCTGCTAAGAGGAAAGGCTTAGTTGGGGCAGAGGGTTTGGCCATCAGCCCCTAAGAAACAGGAGCTTGTGAACAGAGTTAGTAAACAGGGAAGTCTGTTCAGTGGGAGCATCAGAGAGAGAGACAGTGTGGTGTCCTCATACAAGATGAAGAAACGCTGGTGGTGAGGATAACTGCTATACCCATGCAATGTTTGTTTCCCTGCCTGATGACATATAAGGTTATAGCTGAAATAATACACTGTCCTGATGGAATAGACAGTGGAACAATATGAGGCCCACCTAACTACATTGGGAAATATAATGGAGAGCTGAAACTGACAGAGGGAGCTCATGTGCACTCTTCCCGGATTCGAACTTGACCTGCCGGTCTTCAGTCCTGCCAGCACAAAGGTTTAACCCACTGTGCCACTGGGGGCACCTCCGTCTTCTCTGAAATGCTAGAACAAGTAACTTTTCCTCCTCAGGGCAGAAACATCATCAACCTTCTTATGCATCTAGCTTATTCATAGGCTCAAGACACAGAAATCTTGGATGAAGGCCTCTACAGCACAGGCCTCTTTCACAAGGAGGCTTTTTGAGAAGGGCCTGGCACATGCAGCTGCCAGTACTTTTCCACCAATGTGTTTAAACTCCCTTGCAATCATGAGATCCAATGGGCTCAAATTACAAGAAGGGAGATTCCCCTGAACATTAGGAAGAAGTTCCTGACCGTGAGAGCTGTTCAGCACTGGAACTCTCTGCCTGGGAGTGTGGCGGAGGCTCCTTCCTTGGAGGCTTTTAAACAGAGGCTGGATGGCCATCTGCCAGGGGTACTTTGCAGTGTGTAAATGTCTCATGAGAACGTAAGGAGAAACCTCTAAGTCAATGCACTGTATGTGATGCCAACTGGCACACATTTTTACATAGCAAAGATATGGTACTATCTTACAAATACAGGGTGAAGCAGCATAACTTCCTTTTTTAAAATGCGCGCCATTCAGTCGGTTGAAGACGTAGCGGAGCGCTAGTGGTCTCGTTCAAGAGGCGGGAGTATAAAGTTTTGTCCTGACACAGTTCAGTCGCCATCATGCATTGGAACAGTGAGGAGCGGGCTTTTGCCATTGAGGCCTACTTTTTGAGCGGATTTGGAGTGGCCGGCCCGCTCTCCAGATTTGGCCCCTTGTAATTTTTTTCTATGGGTTTTTTTGAAATCCCGTGTTTATGGGAACCGTCCAAGGACCCTACAAGATTTGAAGACCAACATCCAGTAAGTAATTGCCAACCTAATGCCTGCTATGCTGGCAAGAGTCATGACAAACGCCAGGAATCGGTTTACTCAGTGTAAGGAGAATGGAGGACGTCACCTACCTAATTTCATCTTCAAAACTGCTGGTGCTCTCACTGCTTATTACAGGGAAAACCAGCTGATCCCTAATCCATCTAAAACACAGACATGTGCCTCACCCTCTAATAACAGGAAGTGAGAAAAATCTACCCCTGGGAAGAGAAAATCAGTTTTGAAAGACCTGTCCTGTGGAAAAGGTGTCTCCATGAAGCTTGGTCACCAATCCTTTGGGGTGGCTGCTCCCAGGCTGTAGAACTCCCTCCCAGGAGAAACCAGAATGGTCCCATCCCTGTTGGCATTCCCCAAGTAGGTCAAGACCTTCCTCTGCCAACAGGCTTTTGGGGAAGGGGAGGCTCTGAGAAGGATGGGTGGGATTGTGTCCAATTCTGGGCACCACAATTCAAGAGAGATATTGACAAGCTGGAATGTGTCCAGAGGAGAGCGACTAAAATGATAAAAGGTCTGGAGAACAAGCCCTATGAGGAGCGGCTTAAGGAGCTGGGCATGTTTAGCCTAAAGAAGAGAAGGCTGAGAGGGGATATGATAGCCATGTGAGAGGAAGCCACAGGGAGGAGGGAGCAAGCTTGTTTTCTGCTTCCCTGGAAACTAGGACACGGAACAATGGCTTCAAACTACAAGAGAGGAGATTACATCTGAACATGAGGAAGAACTTCCTGACTGTGAGAGCTGTTCAGCAGTGGAACTCTCTGCCCTGGAGTGTGGTGGAGGCTCCTTCTTTGGAGGTTTTTAAACAGAGGCTGGATGGCCAGATACAGATACAGGCCAAAATCCCATTGGCTTTTTTTCCTGCCGCATCACATTGTTGGCTCATGTTTAACTTGTTGTCGACGAGGACTCCAAGAACTTTTTCACACGTACTGCTCTCAGGCCAGGCGTCCCCAATTCTGTATCTTTGCATTTCGTTTTTTCTGCCTAAGTGCAGCATCTTGCATTTGTCACTTTTGAACAATGGCTTCAAACTACAAGAAAGGAGATTCCATCTGAACATGAGGAAGAACTTCCTGACTGTGAGAGCCGTTCAGCATTGGAACTCTCTGCCCCGGAGTGTGGTGGAGGCTCCTTTCTTTGGAAGCTTTTAAACAGAGGCTGGATGGCCATCTGTCAGGGGGGCTTTGAATGCAATATTCCTGCTTCTTGGCAGAATGGGGTTGGACTGGATGGCCCATGAGGTCTCTTCCAACTCTATGATTCTATGATTCTAGGAACTTCCTGACTGTGAGAGCCGTTCAGCAGTGGAACTCTCTGCCTCGGAGTGTGGTGGAGGCTCCTTCTTTGGAAGCTTTTAAACAGAGGCTGGATGGCCATCTGTCAGGGGTGATTTGAATGCAATATTCCTGCTTCTTGGCAAGGGGTTGGACTGGATGGCCCATGAGGTCTCTTCCAACTCTTTGATTCTATGATTCTAAGAACTTGCTGACTGTGAGAGCCGTTCAGCAGTGGAACTCTCTGCCCCGAGTGTGGTGGAGGCTCCTTCTTTGGAAGCTTTTAAACAGAGGCTGGATGGCCATCTGTCAGGGGTGATTTGAATGCAATATTCCTGCTTCTTGGCAGAATGGGGTTGGACTGGATGGCCCATGAGGTCTCTTCCAACTCTTTGATTCTATGATTCTATGTTCACATGCTCTGAAATGCGGGGCCAGTTTTGGAGAAGGAAAGCATGGAGTTGAAGGAGCCCTGGCTGGAAACGACGGCGTGGTGGGAGCTGTAGCTTTCCCCAAAGAGGGGTGTCAGGGCGCCTCCACTCCCCGGTGTAGCCCCTGGGGGATGTTCCCTCCCTCCCTCCCCGTCCCGACCGACCTGCCGAGCTCCTGGATGGCGGGCGGGATGGCCTGGAGGCGGTTGCTGCCCAGGCTGAGGCTGCGGAGGCGGCGGAGGCCCAGCACGGGGGGCGGGAGGTGGGCGAAGCGGTTGCCGCTGAGGTTGAGGGCGCGGAGGGAGCGGCCCAGCGGGGAGGCCGCCAGGCCCTTGGGCAACGAGCCCGGCCCGCCCAGCCGGTTGTTCTTGGCCAGCAGCGTGCGGAGGCGGCCCAGGCCTAGCAGCTCCGGCCCCAGCGCCGCCAGCCCCGTCCCGCTCACGTCCAGCTCCTCCAAGGCCGGGAAGCGGGCGCCCAGCTCCGCCGGAAGGCCGCCCGAAGGCGACAGCCACGACGCGGGCACCGCCAAGCGCCTCGAAGGGGGAGAAGAGGGCGAAGGGCCGCCTGCCTCCTCTTGCTCCTCCGCGGCTGCCGGAAGGGCCTCCTCGCCCGGCTCCTCCGCCATCTCCTGCGGTCTACAAGGCGCTCTCTCCAGCCGCGGCCTACAACTCCCCTCAGCGCCCAAGGGGCGGGACTTCCGGGGAGCGCAAACTCTGCCCTTCCGCTCTCGAGCCCCGCCTGCTTGGCCTGGCTTCTCCGGCGCGCGCCTGGAGCAGCTCCATTGGAGCCCCCGCTGGAGACTGGTTTAGTTCAGTGAGAGATTGGTTTAGTTCAGTGTTTCTCAACCTGAGGGAGGGG